CATTTCGCTTTTAAAAATCATTGACCTTTCAGGAGTTAATGATCTTTCTACCTTCAAAGATCACACGATGCTATATATGCCTGAATGAAGCAAGCTTAATAAACTGTATGTGACATATAGGCTGCCTCGAGTGGCCAGATAAACACGTCAAGCCACTAAACCAAATCAACAAGTTACCCGATACTCTGGTTCTGAGTGTGTTTAAGTAGGTGACAGTAACATCTGATGTGGAGAGTAATTTTAGATGTGCAAGCAATATAGGCGCCAGCAGGCTTTTTTCTAAGAGGGGAGGGGGGTCATGTTATAATTTAGATATGAAATAAAATTAAAAAAACAGAGGACGTGTTATAATTTTTTTTTAAAAACCAAGTCGATAGCTTCAATAACAATTATTTTAAATCAAGATGCAACTTTTGTTTGTTCCTGTTACAGTTTTTGGAGTGTTGAAATATAAACTTTTACACAATAATCTTGTCTACAATAATATGTTTAATAAAACAACTCTTAAATCATAAGCAAATTAGGAATTAATTTGCTTTTATTACCTTCTCTCTGATAAATTAAGATATACAAGGCCTACACATTTTATTCAGTTTTTTTTTTAATGTGTTCATTCACATCACGAAAACTGACTTTAGCAAATGTGCAATTATCGAGACGACGAGTCATCAAGATTCATCATAATACACAACACCAATCACAACATATGAAATCCATTGTTCACAATCACGATGCTTGGCCATACTCATACCACACCACCACTCACAACATACATAAAATACATCCTTCATCATCAAGATTCATAACTATATGTATACCACACCACTCCACAAAACATATAAAATTCACTAATTAACGTATACAATACTACTCTTCACAACACTCAAGCACTCCTATCATAAAAACAAACCCAACTACCCACCACAATATGCACCAACAACCCCACTACAATATGCACCAACTACCCCACCACAATATGCACCAACTACCCCACCACATTATGCACCAACTACCCCACCACAATATGCACCAACTACCCCACCACAATATGCACCAACTACCCCACCACAATATGCACCAACTACCCCACCACAATATGCACCGCCAAATGCTTTTTGCTTGGTCATGGCAGCGTACTATAGTCCACATCTTCCACTAGTAAGTCATCGGCTGCCAGCCAGCGTAAACAGCATTCATACCCACATGGGGCTGTGTGCAGGGCTGTTCAAATACAGCTCGGCTTGTTGAAATTTTGGGTTGAATTATAAAATGGTTAGTGGTCAAAATAGGACCAGAGTTTTCTTAGATGAGAGACGGAATTTGTCTTGATGCAGAGTTGCAGGGGATGTAATTGTAAACATAGAAGTAGCTGAACGTCTATATAAGGGTGGGGGTGGGGGTCAGTCCATTATATCGTCCCTATCGAAGACAATGAGTTAACCAGACGATAAAACACAAGCTGCAAATCATTGAAGGGGGAACTAATAATATTGTCTCCCCTTTTTCAACCCAGACAGTTACTCAATTATTTACTCCCCCTCTCCAAACACCACATATGCTTAAACTCAATCAAATCTCAGACCACCACCACCCCCCCCCCCCCCTCCTATTTTTCAATTTTCTAAGTTAACAAAAAGTCAATATATAAACAAAATAAATTAAAAGCCAGTAAAAGGCCTACATGTCAAATAGGGTTTTACAAATCCTAATTAAAACGTCACCCAAATTGTAAACAAATTAGTTGGCCACAGTCTTTTTTATGATCACCATAATTCAAGTTTTAATAGATCGTTCAAACCTCCAGCTTTCTATAGCAAGTTGAAAGGAGGAAGTGTGTAGTAATGTTGTAAACATATAAAGTTGGAGAAAGTTTATTCAATAGTATACTATTGTGAAGAGATAGCGTAGATGCAACTATAACTTAATCTCTATGCATGCATACGTTATAGTTGCATCTACTTTATCTCTTCACAATATTATACTATTGAATAAACTTTCCCCAACTTTGTCAGAAGAAGTTGTAAAATTTCGCGTCTAGTCTAGCGAGTCGGGTGTTGAATCAACCAGTCGTCACGCCATCGAACTGCGTGGCTCGCGGCACATGACACTACTTCGGTGTGCACCAGTTCACAAATTGTAACAAGCCAGCACACGAGTTCTACGATGGCCGCTACTATGTTTGCCAGGTAAGTTTTTTTTTCTCTTTTATATTGCGGTAGTGATTTCTAGTTTTGTATGCGTTTAGAAATATTTTTAATCGATTTAACACAAACACTTGTTCGCAGAGTTAGAATCGTCGATTTTTTTTAAAAACCCTTTTGTTAGCTATTATAAAGCTAGGTTAATGTGGACTGTCAAAACAACGATTATATAAATAGGTCTAGGTTTGAGATATTTTGAGTACGGATAATCAATAAACATGCATATCGTTTGTGCATGTCATGGTGCTACTCTGGGACTACAAGACACATGCTACCGTAGTGCTGCCCTCAGTACCATGGGACTAGACAAGTGCTACCATAGTGCTACTCTGGGATTAGACAAGCGCTACCATAGTGCTACTCTGGGACCACTATAGAAATGCTACCAAAGTGCTACTATGGGACTAGACAAATGCTACCAAAGTGCTACTATGGGACTAGACAAGTGCTACCATAGTGCTACCCTGGGACTACTAGACACATACTACCATAGTGCTACTCTGGGATCACTATAGAACTGCTACCAACATTGAAAACAACACTATTTAGAATATGAGCTACTATCTACAAGTGATGTTTAAGAGAAATGTTAGCTTCTGTGTCATATGCGTTGTGTTAAGCGTGGTCTGGTGATAGTCGACTAGGCTAAACTATCACACATATATACTACAGGAAATCACTGAAGCGGAGCTAACGTTTACATTAGTAGCGGACATTGTTGCTCCACCGTTCAGGTCTCACTGGGTCCACCCAGCATTAGCTGAAACGTGACCTTTGAACTTGTTCACTAACCTTGTAGGGGACATGTATGAACCGAATATAAAGCCGTGTGCGGTATGACTTAAGGACAGTGCTTGTGACACCTTAAGTGTTATGTCTCGTTTTAAGTTTTTAACAACAGCAACATAATATACTGCGAGATAAATAATAGTTGCATAAGAATTGAACTAATAAACCGGGAGTGATCTCCCCTAAACTTTCTTGAATATTCTTATATAAAACAACAGGGGATGGGAACTCGGGTTGTAGACATGATTTTTAATCCATTTTAAATACTTTAACTTTTTAAATTAGAATAAAATCTCGTAGAAAAAAAAGATCTGCACCCCAAGTGAACGCCAAATAAAATGTGCATAATAGTGCGGAAAATTATTAGTACTTTATAAATTCACATGCGTTTTTGAGAAATCGGAAATAGCGAAAATTACTACTTCCGGTCAACAGAAATTACTCAAAATTTGAAAGAAGGCAGAGAATTAGATCTTTTACTTACAAGTGAAATTTCATTTATCTATCTGAAATAGTACTCAATTTATAGGCTTTTGAAAAATTCAAAATAGAAAAAGTTCTCTCGGTTATCGGAAATCACTCAAAAATTGATACAAAACTACGATTTTGATATAATACTTATATATGAAATTTCACCAACCTAGCTGTAACAGTAATCAAGTTATCGTGTTTACACACTCACACAGACACACACACATACATACGGACAAGATTGCAAAACTATGTTTTTCCGACTCTGGGAGGTGTAAAACGTAAAACGTCGAGATTTGCAAAAATCTCGATTTTTTTTTGCACGATTACAAGACTTTCTCTATACTTCGTATATACGAGAAAGTAAAAAATGTACACATCGTAACAAGACTGCCAAAAGCAGATGAAGCAAAGCTGAGCTGTTACTGTAGCAAGAAGAGAATTTGATCAAGGTGCCTTGGCCTCCATTTCCAGTACAGTTTAGAGATGGAGGAGCACAGATTCGAACCGAACACCAAATTATATGTAGTGATAAAGAGTAACTTTTGTATAACTTTATCATAGCTATAGCATCTATAAACCGAGTTAAAGCTTCATTTAAAGCCCACAATCCAATCCAGTAGCCGAAGACATCGCCCCTTCATGACCCTAGGCTCTAGACCTTTGGGGGAGGGGCGGTAATGCCAGTGACTGAAGTGTTAAGTCATGACAGCATTAGATGTAAAACTACATATTGACCTCATTGCCGAGCAATACGTTTACGATGACCTACTCTGCCTTACAGTTTGTGCTATTTATATACAGTTCAACAGCTTATGTAATCTCCATATCCCCCCATCCCCCCAACCCCCCTAAACAACAACACCATCAAAGAATTCCGAGCTCATCTGGGAGAGAGTTGAACTAGATTCTTGTCACCCTCGCTTACCCAGCGTGTGGGATTTGTTTGTCTAACTGGACTGTAATTATCATGTCAGCGCCGAGTCTAATGATTTAATCTAATGATGATAGCTAGAGGCTAATGATTCTCATAGCTTAATGTAACAGTTTGGCATTGTTCAAATTTTACCGCGCCCAGGTTCAACGGCTCCAGCCCGTAATGTTGTCAGACGCGGCAGATTTCTGTTCAGTGGCGTAGCCAGGAATTTGTCATGGGAGGGATTCAAAATTTTCTTCACATTTATATTATATATATATATATATATATATATATATATATATATATATATATATATATATATATATATATATATATAGGCTATATATATAGTAAATATAGGCTATAATTATAGGAGTGGGGGGTCCAAGGGAGGGGTTAAAGCCCCCCTAACCTCCCCCCCCCCCCCTTGCCTACGCCATTGTCTCTATTAGTGCGTACCTGGTCTAAACTCTAAACTGATTGATTTTTTTAGCGAGTTCGAAGCGTTTGTATTGGTGGGGTAGGAATTTCAATATCACTATCAGTTTTAGGTAAACAAAGAGGTCACGTGACGGTGGAGACCGAGTAAACACTTGCAGCTAGTCCTTTTTTTATGTCACTGCACGAGAGAGTGTTGTTTAATGCTAGCGTGTTTTTAGCTGGTACTTGGTAGTCAGCTGTATAAAACCGTTTTAGCTAGTAGGTAGCAGTATCAAACATTTATAGCTTGGATGTAGCAATTTCAAACAGTTTTTAGCCTGGGAGGTACTTGTATTAAATAGTTGTTTTTATAATGGAGGTAGCAGTATAAAAACAGTTTTTCTGACTTGGGGTATCAGTATACAAACAGTTTTTCTGACTTGGGGTATCAGTATACAAACAGTTTTTCTGACTTGGGGTATCAGTATAAAAACAGTTTTTTCGGACTTGGAGCTTGCAGCATTAAACAGTTTTTAGGTTGGACGTAGCAGTATAAAAAGTGTGTTTCTGTCTTGGAGTATAACAACAGCGTTTATAGCTTGGAAGTAGCAGTACAGAACAAACATAATTTGGAGCTAGCAGTATAAAACTAAGGTGTTTCTAGCTAGAATAGAGTCCCACAGGATTTAACATGTATAGCGAGTGGAGAAAGCAGGGCTGGCCTCACTCGGGCCCACGGGCTAAACTAGCACCACAGTAGGTTTCTTATTTGTTTTTGTTTGTTTTTTTGTGTTTACTCTTCGTTTCATCTATAGTTAATTTAGTAAACCGGATTCAAAGTATGGTGGAAACTAGAACCAGACTGTTTTAATACAACTTTTCAAAAACTTTCAGAAGGCTTGAAAGTTTTGTTTGGATTTGTCCATTATACATTACTACACCTTTCATCCGATCGCCATGAAAACTTTTGGGAGTTGATGCGAATACTCCTGGGAGAGTTTCTGCCAAAAAAAATTCAATTTCGGCCCCCAAGGGCTTACAGGGGCCCTCAAAGTCCCCAGAATAAAAATAAGAATTATTATTGAATTTATTCAGAGGAATTAACCAGGCATATTTTGTAAAAAAAAAATATTAACTTGGTTGCACCCTTTGTCCATAAAAAAATTACAACAACTTGCAGGCCTGTATGTCTGTGAGTTTGTCTTTTATGTATTACTCAGACTTTGAGAAGTTGTTAAGAACACCCCTTGGGAGGTTTCTGTGGGGGAAAAAATTTTTCGAAGGGGCGGCACCCCAGCATGGTGTAATTTTGCGCCCGGGATCCCCCGCGAGCACTATGCGCCTACATGTATTTTAAAGAGCACAACGCGATAGGAACACGGTGGCACAAGCCATTCAATTATTGAGGCCGAATTAGGGACCGTACGCGGCGACTTTGCGGGAGTGTGGCCGGTGGCTCCCTGGAGCGCACCATGATGCCCCTGACACATCGGTTATCATCGAATGGTGTGTGTGTATGCCTACTCACTAATTGCGGCAGGTGACTCAAGACTTATACAGCACGCAATAGTGCTTTTGGGCGGTAGCTTGGACAAATCAGATCCAAGAAATATAGCGCCTGATTTCTTTACATTTAAATAACTTAATTTTAGAAAATAAGGTCACGCATTTAAAAATACACAATTGGTAACGCATTGTTGGACTTTTTGTCTAAATCCTCCACCATATTCTCAATTAAGAACGAAGAAAAAGAAGGTAACGCATTGATTACATTTTCTTAAAGTATTGCATCAGTCCGCAGCAACGCGCGGACGGAATCGCTAGTAGTGCATAAAAGAAGTACAAGCGGTAGCTTGGACAAATCAGTTCCAAGAAATATAGCGCCTGATTTCTTTACATTTAAATAACTTAATTTTAGAAAATAAGGTCACGCATTTAAAAGTCCACAATTGGTAACGCATTGATGAAATCTTCTTAAAGTATTGCATCAGCCCGCAGCAACGCGCGGACGAAATCGCTAGTAGTGCATAAAAGAAGTACAGTTTCAATAAATTTACAAATTTCTTAGTAGTCTCATTATTGCTACTTTTACATTTAAAATCTGCTCCTCCTGTATGTTACAGGTAAATACTTATCAACATCATACATTTTTTACTAACTTTATCTACAGACCGGGTGATGCCTACAACATACAGTTTACAATTAACGGCGAGAAGCATGTTGGTAAGTATTGGAAGGGTGACGTGGATCACGTGGTTTATGTGAAGCAGAGAATGTCAGGTTGCTGGTGATTGATCTAGCTACAGTGGTAGTTGGTGCTGGCTGTGGTTGGTGTGTACATGGTTGTTTGAGTGTGTACGTAATGTTCTTGGTGTGTACGTGATTGTTTTGCATTGTTTTATTCAGTGCCGGCGCCAGGTTATTTAGCGCCCTAGGTAAAACATATTAAAATGCCGCCCCCCCCCCCCCGCAATTTTTTTCGTGCTCCCGTATTATCAGAGGCGTAGCGACCCTTCACGGCGCCCGGGGACAAGCTTTCGATTTGCACCCCCTCAAACTTTCAATTTGTTTTTCCAACCCATTTTGCCACTCTACGGCAGCGCCCTAGGCTACCGCCTGGTTCGCCTTATAGGTAGAGCCAGCCCTGGTTTTATTGTGTACATGATTGTGCTGGTTTCAACAACGACAGCTTACCGAGTAATGAGATGTTGATCTGGATTTTGTGAGTCGAATTGGATAACCTTTTAAGAAGGTTGTATTAAATAATTATCGAATACAGTGGCGTCACTAGGTAGGGCTATACCCAGCTCGTGGCAACCCTGGGTAACCTTTATACATACGTATTCTTATTAAATGATTTGTATTCCAGCAGGCCGCTGAAAAGAGCGTCCTTAGCAACCAGTTTCTTTCAGAGAACTTTCTTTCTCCCCAGAGGGGGAAAATAATTTTTAACTACTTCCAGCGGTGGGGCTAGGGCTATGTGAAAGGTCTCGTCCGGTGGAGGGGTTGATGGTGGACGTACTCCCCACCCCCCTTATTCCCCCCCCCCCCAAACAGGATCCACCCCACTAGTTGCCTGAATCTCAACAAGCCACTTTATTAATACTAATAGTTTCGCTGTCTGTGTATCTATCTGTGTATCTATCTATCTATCTGTCTGACAAGAACGCTCTAGAGAAAACACAAGCAAATTAAAAACCTGCTTAGTAATTCGAAAAACGAAGTATGACGTCGACACATTTAGCATAGAGTTGAAAATAATCTCAAGGCGGAAAGTGCACACAGTAATATAATGACGTCATTGATTCTCGCGTAAACATTGAGTAAAAAGGAAATGTTGTCTAATCTAAATGGTTTGCGTGAAGAGTTTCTTGCATACAATTCTTCGGGTAGGGGCGAAGCCCCACCACACGCGTAAGAACGTCTGAGCCCCCCCCCCCTCCCCAACTCAAAAGAAATTTCTTCATCGATACTCTATAATAAAATTACCGCCTAATTAATGTGTCTAATCTAAAAAGTGGTTTTCTTGCAATTTCTTTAATGCAATTCTTCGGGTAGTGGCTAAGCGCGACACCAGTGTTTCTTTCAGACTTTTTCCTCCCCGGAGAGGGGTGGGGGTAATTGAAATTTTCGGGGGCGGGGGTAGAATTTTCGGGAAGGGGGGCGGACACTGGAAAAAGTATATAATTATATTTCGTTGAATGGGACGGTAGACATGATTTTTTTGGGAGTGGGGGGTGGGGGGTGGGGGTGTGTGGGTGGGGGGGGGGTGGGGTGGGGTGGTTTCCTCATCGATACTCTATAATAAAATTACCGCCTAATTAATGTGTCTAATCTAAAAAGTGGTTTTCTCGCAATTTCTTTAATGCAATTCTTCGCGTAGTGGCTAAGCGCGACACCAGTGTTTCTTTCAGACTTTTTCCTCCCCGGAGAGGGGTGGGGGTACTTGAAATTTTCGGGGGCGGGGGTAGAATTTTCGGGGAGGGGGCGGACACTGGAAAAAGTATATAATTATATTTCGTTGAATGGGACGGTAGACATGTTTTTTGGGGGGGTGGGGGTGGGGGTGGGTGGGTGGGGGTGGGGTGGGGTGAGGTGGGGGTGGGTGGGGGTGGTGTGTGGAGTGGGTGGGGGTGGGGGGGGGTAGGGGTGGGGGTGGTGTGTGTGGGGGGTGGGTTGGTTTTAGTTTAGAGAAAAGAGACAGCACTATCAACCTAGCGCCCGGTGTATCCTTCCTCAACGGGCCATTTTTCTCGTTCTAAAATAGTTTCACTAGTTCTCTAGATCCCCCCCCCCCCCCCCCCACACCAGTGGCGATGCCCACGATTCTTGCGTCACCTTCCATGTCAAACCCAGGTCTCTTTTTTTTCCTCTGAATATCTAGATGTGCAAGTCATTCCCGAATGGCCTTTTTCATTTAATCAATCTTTTGGTGTTTCCCCACCATACCCTTGAATTGAGCATGAGTCAGCAATAAACTCTACACTGGTGGAAGAAGAATAAGCCGAAAAGTTACATTTAATTAAGTTAAGTTAATTAATTGTTAAGTATCCCCCACCACACCAATAAGTTATTTATTTCAGTGTATGATACATATCCACCCAAAACATCACTAAATGATATTTTTCAGTGTATGATAAGTATCCACCCTACACATCACTAAATGATATCTTTCAGTGTATGATAAGTATCCCCCACCACTTTACTAAATGATATGTTTCAGTGTATGATAAGTATCCACCCTACACATCACTAAATGATATCTTTCAGTGTATGATAAGTATCCACCCACCACATCACTAAATGATATGTTTCAGTGTATGATAAGTATCCACCCACCACATCACTAAATGATATCTTTCAGTGTATGATAAGTATCCTCCCACTACACCACTAAATGATATCTTTCAGTGTATGATTAGTATCCCCCACCTCTTTACTAAATGATATCTTTCAGTGTATGATAAGTATCCACCTACCACATCCCTGAACGATTACATCAGAGATGTTGCTGGACTTAAGGGGACGAAAATCATGTGCAAGGAGGCCGGATGTGGATGTTGTGCAGTGGCCGTGACCTACGCCCCAGGGGGAGATAAGGCAGAGACCATGAGCATTAACTCGGTGAGTGACCCAAGCAAGACAAGGTTTGTTTGATTGCTTCTGGTTTATCTTTAAAATGTGGATACATTTTGTTTGTAGCAACACGCATGCACACCCCCCCCCCCCCCCCCGATTTAGTTTCCATTTTTTTCTATTATCTTTAAATTAATATTTCTTTAATTGGGTAATTGATCGGAACACTTTAAATTATATTTTTCGAATTATTTACCTATTATGTTCCAATAATTTTATTTAAAACATTCTATCACACAGTATTTTATCTCTAACTGTCATTAGCTACATCCCTGCTAGTTGCTTTAAATTTTACTAAAATGAATTGTCTCTGCCTTAGTTATCAAATGTTATTTAATTAGTTACCTCCCTGTCAGTGTCTTTTTTTTTAAATGAGTTACCACCCTGTCAGTATATGGTTTTATTTATTAAGTTACTTCCCCTTCCAGTGTCTCTGCCCCCTGTACAGTGTAGACGGCTGGCAGATCACCACTGTTGAAGGTATAGGCAGTCAAAAAGATGGATTCCACCCAATCCAGGAGAGGATTGCCCAGCATAACGGTACTCAGTGTGGCTACTGTACTCCTGGTTTTGTCATGTCCATGTATGGGTAAGTCGAAAATCAGTTCTTTTAAGCGTAAACAGTGATATAAAAAATTAAACTGGAATAAAACCAATGAAAACTATTTTCTAACCAGACTACTCAATGATATAAAATTTAAACTGAAATAAAACCAATGAAACTATTTTCTAACCAGACTACTCATTGATATAAAAAAACATAAACTACAACAAAAATAAAACCAATGAAACTATTTTCTAACCAAACTACTCATTAATATAAAAAACATAAACTAAAATAAAAATAAAACCAATGAAAAATTATTTTCTAACCAGACTACTCATTAATATAAAATGTAAACTGAAATAAAAGCAATGAAATTATTTTCTAACCAGACTACTCATAGATATAAAAATTTAAACTACAATAAAAATAAAACCAATGAAACTATTTTCTAACCAGACTACTCATTAATATAAAATGTAAACTGAAATAAAAGCAATGAAATTATTTTCTAACCAGACTACTCATAGATATAAAAATTTAAACTACAATAAAAATAAAACCAATAAAACTATTTTCTAACCAGACTACTCCACCAGAAGCCCCAGCTGAGCCAGCAGGAGATAGAAGACTCATTTGATGGTCACGTGTGCAGGTGTACAGGCTACAGGTCAATCCTGGACGCCATGAAGTCTTTTGCTACAGACTCAACTATTCCAGGAGCCAAGTGTGTCGACATTGAGGTCAGTGAATTCCATTGTTTTTTTTTTCTTCTGCAAAACTTGTGGAAACTTAATCCTTTGTTAAAAGGAATATTTCTTTATTTACTTATACTCAGATTTTAAGACTGAAAAAGGCAACACAAACATATTTACAAAATCCAAATTAGGTACTTTAATGGCATTGTCTGGTGATGAATACCAAATTAGCCAAAATGCTTATTTCTAAACCTCATAGCTAGCATATAGTTATAACTCAAAGAGTGAAGTCTAAAACTAAAAAAAACGCCAAAAATTTCCTGCCGTTGCCATGGTGATGGCAGCCATCTTGTATTTTATTTACCTTTTTAAAATCGAAATAACTAAAAAAACCAAACAATTTTTCATAAAGTTATTGGTATATTTTTATACAGAATAAGTTGAGTATTTTGTATCAATTTTAATTATAATCAAGAAGTTATTTCAATCTTAAAACGGAAAAATAATTCCAGGAAGAAATCATCTCCATGGCAATGGCAGGAAATTTTCAGCCATTTTAAAATTTTAGACTTTATTCTATGAGTTATAACGATATTCTAAATATCATAGCATTTGGTTTGGAAATAAGCATTTTGGCTAATTTGATATCCATCATCTGATCATGCCTTTAATTCAGTAGATTAGTACTTTTTAGTACCTTATATTTTGATATATTGATTTACAGTCATATTTAGTACTTGAATAAACTCCTATTTAATAAACTTTCATATAATTTTTTCCTGTCTTGCAGGATCTTAATAAACATCTGTGCCCCAAAACTGGAGAGGTTTGCAAAGGGAAGCAAGAAGGATGTTCTCATGGCTTATCCCTTGACTTGCGTGAAAGCAAATGGTACAGACCAAACAACCTGCAAGAGCTTGGGAAACTTCTCACAGAAAATAGCACCAGGAGCACAAAACTTTTGTTTGGAAACACATCTGCAGGTAATTTGTTCTGGCAACTTTGTTAAACACAACATGAGTGAATGTTTATTATCAAGGAATGCTAAACTAAAAACAGAATATATAATCAAGTCACCCCACCCCCTTAATTAAAGTTATTCGCATTGGCCAAAAATGCACCACCGTTCAGATTAGGAAAAGTCAAGGGCACTTTTTACCAGTCACTCTCTTTTAACAGTTTTTATGTTGGTGTCACAGAATTGATTTCAATTATAGTTAAATAAGCACTTAAAGTCAAGTAACATTCTTTTTTTTATGATTTAGTAATGCAGCTAAAAAGGAGCTTTGTTTAATTTTATTTCTACCCCATTCCATGTCCTCCTATGGTTGACACCCACTGCCACCATACCCACCCTACCCCAGCTACGCCACTGAATCAAGGAATAAACAATTTAGTGGCCTGTGTTATTTTAGCTTATTTTCCTGTTTAAAATTAAATTAACGTCAGGATAGGTGAAGAAAGAAAAAAGGTTTAGGACTGTAATTTGCAACATTTTGTTTTGATTATGTAAGCTCTATAATAAATGGTAGTAAAAATATTATAGAAGTAAGTTACAAGACATAAAATCTGTTTGCATATTTGTTCACATTGCATGAACTTGTCTACTGTCTCCAGGAATATTTAAGAATGAAGGACCCTATCAGGTTTATATTGATCTTCATGGTGTGAAGGAGCTCTACCAATTTAAGGTAAATTTGTTTCCTTTACACACTCTTTATTTTTAATTTTTCTCATTTCATTCAAATGTTTAATAAGGTGTTAAATATTTCTTAACTGAATTAATGTAAAATTGTGATAGAAGTATTAAGTAAGATGAGCAGAGTAATAATAATTTTTAAAAATACAACTATATGCAACATTATTTTAAATTTCCGTTGAGAAATTTGAACTTTAGTACAAAATAAAGTGTTATTTGTGTTTGAGTGCATCTCTGCCACAGCCTAGCAAAACTAATGATGTGATAGGTTTATTTTTAAAGGGTTTAATAGACATAATTTTCAGTTTTAATAATTTAAAATCATGCAAACTGGTTTTTATTGGAGATTACTTTTTATATGAATTACATTAAGGTCTGAACAGTTTATGTGCTCACATTATTTTCTATCAATCCACCTGTTGATGTCATTAAAATGTTTGATCCCCACAGGAAAACACAGACAGTGTTGTGTTTGGTGGCAACACCACACTCTCTAAGCTGAAGGACCATCTGAAGGAGCTGCAACACAAGGCTGGCTTCTCCTACTTCACTGCAGTCATTCGTCATCTCAAAGTCATTGCCAGTGTGCTGGTTAGAAATGTAAGGCAGATTCTGATTGGTTTAAATTATTACTTCTAGCTTATATTTAAAACCTGTTACTCCCTTATTGTTGATTATAAACCAATAGAATATTTATTTTAGTTTGTGAACCGATGTGTAAAGAAGCCACAAAAATCCGAGATTTTTTTTACTTTTAAATATTATTTACCTGATTTAAAGATTTTCTAGTTTGAATTCCTAAAGACAAAACAAAAAATAAATTTACTTGTCTTTGATGTTTTAGGCTGGTTGCATTGCAGGAAATTTAATGATAAAGAAAAACTATCATGAATTTCCATCAGATCTTTTCACTTTGACAGAAGCCATTGGAGCCAGTGTTGGTATCTTTGGTAAGATTTTTTTTCGTGACACATTTGAATGAAATTAATTTTTGTTAATTATATCATCATCTCACAGTCAACCTTAAAAATTGTTAGTGTTATAAAAAAATAATACCTTGATTATAACTGTATTAGAAACTTTTTTAAGAGTGCTGATTTTAAAAATTTAGCTTCCGTGATTTAATGTATTCAGATGCTAAAGATGGCAGCACAAAGAAATACAGCCTGTTGGAATTCCTACAAAAAGTGGACATGAAGCAAAAAGTCATAGCTTTTCTTCAACTTCCAAGTTTCAAACAGTCTGAAATCTTCCGATCTTTTAAAATTACTCCAAGATGGCAGGTACTCTAGTGATAACATTTTTTATTCTGTTGATGTCCAAAAGTTTGAAAATCTTGTTTTAAAGCAGCCTATTAAAAAATGTTATGTCAACTATAGGTAAAGTGAAGCAAAACCTACACTATTAATTATTTAGTGAATAGTGCTCTTAGGGCTTCAATTCCTTAACACTGGAGTATTTGAGAGATTATATAGAGCCCATTACAGGATCAATATCAAGTCTATAAGAGCTTATGACTTTATGTTTATGCTTTATAGAGTGCCGTGTAGTTTGCTAGATGATGTCAGTTTTTTTTGGAAAAATAAAAATAAAACTTCTACAAAAATAATGGATTTATCAGAATAAATTATGAAATTCCACTAGCTTGAAAATTTTCTATGTATTTGAAATGGATGAATGTGACTGGTATTGAAATTAATTTATTTTCAACAGAATGCTCATGCATATGTAAATGCTGCATTCAAGTTTGAAGTTGTGGGTAAAAAAGTTACAGGAACTCCATCTTTTGTGTATGGAGGTATCAGCAACAATTTGGTAAGCTTTGTTTTATCACATCACTTGCACAGCTAGGAGAATATATTGTTCAAACTTGCAAACCTGTGTGTAAATATCTGAAGTACTTGACACTAGAAATATTTAACAACTATAATATCTAATTCTAAGAATGTTTACAAATTATTTTGTTCATTGCTAGGGTTCAAATAAATGAGCTGAAAAACAGAATTGTTCTGAAAAACTAATCTTTGCAGTATTGAGTATATTTTGTCGGACATTATTGGTTTCAGTCTAGCCTATAGCTGCATTTGTTGCAAAGACAAACGCATTTAGTTATTTAGTATGCTTTCATTAGCTTTAATTTGAAAAATGTTGGAATCAGTTAGGGATGTACCATGTGATACTATTTGTGTGTGGGTGATACACAAAAGCAGAGGTTGCTAAATTAACTGAGGAAAAATTACTTTACCATTTAAAGTAACAACTAATTACAGTAAAATACATCTTAAGAATAGACGGTCGTTGTCCTAAAATCTAAAACTGTTACATTCACCCCTCCCAAGTATGGCATTAGACCATATTCCAGAGAGGTTAGAACTGAGACCAGCATTACTGCATAAAGCTAACACCTGGCGACACCTGACCTAACTACACTTGTCAAAATAAAATATATAGGTTTATTAAGCCATAGTTTAAAAATAATTTTTATTTTAGATTCATGCTTCTAAAGCTGAAGCATTCATTAAAGGGAAGCAACTTGATGACAAAATTATTTCAGGTAAAGATATTTTCATTCACCTTGAACTTAATTTACATTTCTAAATTAAAATCAAGGCATCATGTTGAAATGTAATAAGTGAAAACTTTCTGCTACCTTAATTCAAAGATTTAATTCATTTCTCTAATAATTTGTGTGCTAAGTTTCTGTTTATTAAACAATGATAATGTTAAAAAAATTAACCTTGAAGCAAATTGTTTATTTCTATGACATATGTGAGTGAAAATGATTGTTGAAACTACAAAATGTTTTATTAAAATATTTTTTTAGAAACATTGAAGGTTTTATCTGCTGAGCTGATTCCAGCAGAAGATGACCCACTTGCTGCTTCTGCTAAATACAGACATGACCTGGCTGTCAATCTCCTGTACAAGGTATTGTACTTTCAACAATGAAGATTTTTTTTTTGTGTCGCTGTAATTTTCCACCTTAAAAATTTTTATTGTTAAAAATTGTTTAGAAAATTTGACTGGACAAAATAAAATCTTCTAGATAATTTTTATCTATTTTTAAATATAGTTTAATTCTACATGAACATATGAAGATTAAAATGCGTGCGGCGTCAATTCGGCCAATGACGAAACGGCCCCGTCAAATCGGCCCCGTCAAAAGGGCCAGCGACATATGGACCCCGTCATATAGGCTCCCGACAAATAAGCTCCCGTCATTTAGGCTACCGACAAATAGGCTCCCGTTATATATGCTCCCGACAAAAGGGCTCCAGTCAATAAGGCTCCTGGCAAATAGGCTCCCGTCATTTTGGCTCCCGACATATAGTCTCCCGTCATTTAGTTTTTTCCACAAAACGGCCCCCGTCATTTCGACTCCCGACAAATAGGCTCCCGCCATTTAGTTTCTCCACAAAACGGCCCCCGTCATTTCGACTCCCGACAAATAGGCTCCCGCCATTTAGTTTCTCCACAAAACGGCCCCCGTCATTACGACTCCCGACAAATAGGCTAGCGTCATTTTGGCTCCCGACAAAAAGGCTCCTGTCAATTTGGCTCCAGACAAAAGGACCACTGACACAGTGGCGTAGCTACCGTAAAGCTAGCGTAAGCAAGGCATGGGGGCCCAAGGCACATAGGGGCCCTTTTCCCTCATAAAAAATTAAAACTTTTACAATGGAATTTTAATATTTGTTACATATAAATAATTTTAAAAAAGAAAAAGGTTAAAAGTTCCAAAAAGCCCCCCCCCCCCCCCCCCCCCCCCCACCGTTTCGGCAGTGGGATTCAGTGTTTGTGGGTCAAACAGAGCCCAATCGTTATAATAACACTACAGGCTATATCACTTTGTCGTGCAAGACATTGAGAGAATCAGCCTATAAATAAACTTTTTAGCAGTAGTAGGCAAGCATAATAATACAGTATAAATACAAAATCAGGACATATAAAATACAAAATGTTGCCTTCAGAATATTTATAGATTAAAAAATATCCATCGTAAGTAGAAGTTGATCTCTTCGTTTAACTCCTCTGTAGCCTAACGCAGAGGCGTAGCGAAGGCGAGGCGGGGGGTGCGGACCGCAACGGGTGACACCACTTAGGGGGGGGGGGGTGACACCAAAGGCAAAAAATTGTAAAATTTATAGAATGAAATGCCATTTTCCAGATCCATTAGTTAAAGTTAAATAGTCTTCTAAGTACAAATCGAAAATTATATCAAGAGTGGGGGGGGGGGGGGGGTGACACCACGACGTAAACGTAAACTATAAAGAAAACAGTGCTACATCTAACTGTATTATAAACAGACTGTAGATAAACATCGTTACTATTAAGTCAGCAGTGATTAAAGCTTAAACACGTACGTGTACCAGTATGTGGCATTTATATAAATTTTAGGCCTATGTAGGCCGACACACACACACACATATATATATATATATATATATATATATATATATATATATATATATATATATATATATATATATATATATATATATATATATATATATATATATATATATATATATATATATATATATACATTATATATATATATATATACATTATATATATATATATATATATATATATATATATATATATATATATATATATATATATATATATATATATACTTTGTTTCCTGGGAGGGGGTGACAATACGAAGTGCCGCACCGGGTGAGACCCGACCTAGCGACGCCACTGGCCTAACGGCTGACGAAGGGGCCCACTGATAATTTTTGCATAGGGGCCCAAAAATCCTAGCTACGCCACTGCACTGACAATACCGTTTCTGTAGAGACTAAGTCTCCCGGCCAGAGTTTCTTCCAGGCATCTCTTCGGGGGGGGGGGGCAAGCCCCCCCGTAAAATTTTTACCGCCCCCCCCCCCCCCCCGAACGAAAAGAAATTTATATAATTTATATAGAAAATATATACGTTTAACAGTGTCCGCCCCCCCCCCCCGAAGAAAGTCTACCGCCCCCCCCCCCCCGAAAATTTCAAGTGCCCCCCCCCCCCCCCGGAGAAAAAAGTCTGGAAGAAACACTGCTCCCGGCAAAGCGGTCTCATTGAATCTGACATCTGCCAGTGGGACCCCTTCATCAATATTCTTTAGAGTTAGCTTATCCAACACTCTTATGTAATACAACGTATGCATCTCTTGTTCGGCAGGCCTTATTTTTATATCAGTTTATCTATTATAAAATATAGTATGTTTTAATTTAAGGGTCATCTATCTATGACATCCATAATTGAGTCGGTTATAGGCTGTTCCAACTCATTGTGTGGGGAGAAGGGTCCACGCTGTACCTTCCTAACTGCAATATGCTTGTACAGGGGCGTAGCGAGGGGGGGGGGGGGGGGCGGGGGTGCGGACCGCACCGGGTGACACCATTTAGGGGGGTGACACCAAGGCAAAAAATAGCAAAATATATAGAGAAAAAGTTGAGGGGGTGGGGGTGCAAATCGAAAGTTTGGGGGGGGGGGGGGTGCAAATCGAAAACTTGAAAGTTTGTCCCCGGGGGTGACACCCGACCTCGCTACGCCACTGTGCTTGTAGGTTATCAAAACAAAATGCTGTTATCATGTTAACATCATGTATATCATACATTTACACTTCTGTGCTCGCTTTTAAGCAACAGATCTTTTCTGTTGTAAATTAAACATTATCAAAACTTTAGAATTGGTGGAATTTAGCTGTTAAGGGCTCGATTTGTTTGTGAATTAATGTTGGTTCATGAAAAAATAATTTCATTCGGGCATTAAAAAGAGGTTATGGTGGTATTGGAGGTAGGACACAATGGTTACTTTTATGCCAATAGTGGTCATATCATTCATTTTTCTGGAGCCAATATGTCGGGAGTCATTTTGTCAAAAGCCAATATGTCGGGAGCCCAATTGCCGGGAGCCAATATGTCGGGAGCCCATTTGTCGGTAGCCAAAATGTCGTGAGCCCATTTGCCGGGAGCCCATTTGTCATGAGCCCTTATGTCGGGAGCCAATATGTCGGGAGCCGCTTTGTCGGGAGCCAATATGTCCTGAGCCTATTTGTCAGGGGTTAATATGTCGGGAGTCCATTTGTCGGGAGCCTAAATATCGGGAGCCCATTTGTCGGGAGCCTATATGTCGCAAGTCAATATGACGGGAGCCCATTTGACGGGAGCCAATAAGTCGGGGCCCTTTTGACGGGGCTATTTTGACGGGGTCGGTTTGTCGGGAGTCGATTTGACGGGGTCGTATTAACGGGGCCGTTTTGACGGGGCCGATTTGTCCCGGGCCGTTTTGACAGGGCACCATTAAAATGTATCTATTTAAATGACATGGTAATGTGTTAAATAGCATTAAAAAACTGAACTATAACACACCTGACAGACACTTTTAGAGGTCTACAAACCATCAGATCTGAGAGTTCAAAGTGGAGCTGACAGTATGGACAGGACTTTGTCCTTTGGGCTACAAACTTTCCAAGAGAAAGCAGAAGAGTTCCCTCTCAAGCAAGCTCTATCTAAATTGGAAGCACCTTTGCAGGTAAGGAGCAATCTGTTTTATTGGTACTAAACTAGTAATTTTTATTTGATAAGTAATTATAAATCTGTGTAATTTTTTTTCTATTAACTATCCCACTAGGCATCTGGTGAAACTGTTTACACCAATGATATTCCAAGTTTCCGCAGAGAACTTTGTGCAGCTTTTGTCATTTCTACAGTAGGGTCAGCCACACTTGAACATGTAGACCCTTCTGAAGCTTTGGTAAGTGGACTCAAGATTTTTCTAGGACAAAATATACTAAATTGTGTTTGGTCAAATAATATGATAATAATTGTTACTGTATTCAAAATAATCTGTAGTTCCCATTATTAATTCTCTTTGTCCAAGCTTAAAACTAAAGCTAATATGACTAACAAACTAAACATAACTGAAACCCACTCATAAACATCTTTTGACTAGAGCTAATTATAGTTTTAAAATCTGCAGGCAATCCCTGGCGTTGTGAGCTACATCAGTGCTGCTGATATTCCAGAGGGAGGCAAGAATGATTTCATGGACTGTTTGATGTTTCCTGGAGTTTCCCCGGAAGAAGTAAGGGCTAAACTAATTAAAAAAAGGCTACAAAATATTCTGTTTGTAAAAAGATGTTTCATAATATCTAACTGTATTTTGTTTACATATTTTACTCTTTGATATGAGATAAGAAAGATTTGTCATATTAAATACTATTTTAGGTTTTTATTACAAAAGAAGTTTCCTATGCTGGCCAAGCCATTGGACTTATTCTGGCAGGTAAAATATTATCACTGATAAATCATAAGCAGACTGGATCTTTACAAACTAAAATATCTTTTCAAAAGTTGAATAATATTCTTTACCTTCACTATTAATTTTTTTTCCTTTTTTTCATTATTTTTATTCATATAATGTGATAGAATGTAAAATTAATGAGGATTTGTGAATAAACAGAGAGACAGAGCATTGCTGATGAGGCAGCTAAGAAGGTGAAGGTCACTTATACAAATGTTCAGGAACCAGTGACAGAACTAGAAGAAGCCATTGCGAAACAAATGTTCCATGAGGGAAAAAGAGAGGAAAAAGTTATTGGCAACCCAGATGGTAGGATTTTTTTTGCTTAAAATTTTCTCTTTTAAACTAACTAATAAAATAAATTAAAAATATATTCATTCAGTTATGTTATCTTATAAATTCTTTCACAGAATTTTTTTTTTTAATGATACAAAATTATTTTGTTGTTTTATTTTCAGATGCCTTCAAAGACTCAGAGATTGTTGTGTCAGGTGAAATCAAAGAAGGCTCACAATATTACTTCTACATAGAAAATCAGGTACATTAGTACTTATGGTGAAAAGAATATTATTAGTAGGCCTTCATTATTTTAGAGTAAATTTTATTTGAAAGGAGGTAAACATGGATAGGTGGTTTACGGAGGATTATTTTAAACAAAAGATTTAACTTTTATTTCTAAACCAAAAACTGCACTTATAAAACTGTAGATTATTTTATTTTAAAAATGAAAAAAAAATTAATTAGAAAAACGTTATTAACTATTTTTCATTATCAAAATGTACATCAGGTGTCTGTAGCAGTTCCATCTGAAGATGGTATTGACCTTTATGCTGCTACACAATGGGCAGCCCATAATCATAGAGCTGCATCTAATATCTTAGGCAAGCCATTGAATTTGTAAGTTTTGTCACCTCATACCTGCTAATATCTTTACTGAGCCATTAAATGTGTAGCTCTAATTTATAGGGATGAATTCAATATGTTTCTTTCATTAGCAAATATTGTTTTATGTAATGTATTAAAACTGACTCTTCTCAGATAATAAACTTATGATTTCTCAAAATACATGTTTTGACAATTTGAATTTATATATATTTAATCTGTTAAGAGAGACTCTTTTATTCCAGCATCAACGTGATCGCAAGTAGAATTGGAGGTGGATTTGGAGGCAAATTGTTCTACTCCTGCAACATATCTGCTGCTGCAACTTTAGCATGCTACATCACCAAAAGGTAAACGGATGAGAAACAAAATGCACAAATTTGAAGATTAGGCATAGTATTATTGATAGGGGAATAATTTATAAATTATGTGTTTTATGGATATTGCAGAATTTTTCTAGGGAAAGATTAAGATATTACATTGATAATCTTGTGTTAATAGAGAAAAGCGTTTGTTTTAATTTTAATATCAAAGCGTAAGTTTTTTAAAAAAAAACATTTTTATGCTTCATTGTAATTTCCATCAAATGGGTAGTATTTTCAAGTTAGTTTGGAGTTTTATTGATGTTTGTATAATTTGTTGTCTATGAAAGAGGTTTATGTCAAGCAAACTAATCAAAAATGAGTCAGCAAATTTAACTGCAGGCTTACTATTTTATAAACTGCTTAAAATTATTGTTAATACAATAAATTGTATTGAAAATAAATTTTAAGTAGTCTTTAGATTGTTAATGAAAACTAATGAAATTCAAAACTTTATAAAATTATCTGCTGCAAGCATATTTTTTTCTCCCACAGGCCTGTTCGCCTCTGTGTAGATTTGGCAACAAACATGAAATTATCAGGGAGGAGATTTCCAATTTTGGCCAAGTATAAGGTAACAATTGAAAATAACAATTTAAAATTAAGTGTATAAATGTGTATGCTTTAAATTTTGTTTGCTGTGCTTGAATTTTTAGCCCGAAAGATTTTTTTTTTAAAGGTGTGAATTAATGGCCCATGATTTGATTTAATTTAACTTCATTTCACTATAGGCTGGTTTAAACAAAGAAGGAAAAATGAATGTACTTGATCTTGATATATACACAGACAGTGGTTTCAAGCCCTCATTTCTAGCTGGAGAGTTCCCTCACTCACTTGACCAAGGTTAAACTAAGTTTAAAATTTCATTTATATTTTTAAATATACTTTATGGAACCAAAAAAAAATTACAAACCATTATTCTGTCATATATTTTGAATACCAAAAATAAAAAGTGAACAATTCAATTTTAAGAAAAACATATTTATCTTTAAAATAATTGCTGCATAAAAAAAATTAAACATTTTAAACTGCTGCATTGACAGGTTACCACATCCCCAACTGGCGTGTTGTTACCACACTTGTCCGCACCAACAAAGCCACAGCACAAGCTTGTCGAGCTCCTGGTATTTTATTGAACTTTCTTGTCTTTAAAGTTTAGAAAGTGAATTTTAAAAGTACCCAGTAACAAGCTTTGCCATAAAATGAAACCTTGTGTTTGTAAACATTTAAATATTCTTTTTTTTCTTACATAATTTAGGTACTGTGCCAGCTTCCCTTGTCATAGAAAGTATCCTTGAACATGCCGCAAAAGAAGTCAGAATGCACCCAATTCTTTTTAAAGAGATTAATTTGTACGACAAGGGCCAGGTAACTCTAACTGCTAACTCAAGTTTAACCTCAACATAAATTGAAAAGAAAAAGCTTGTTTTCACATTAATAATTTATAGGGACAATAGACTGAGCTAAGGTATATTTTTGAGCATATTTTATCTTAACATAATTTTTAATAAATTTAGATTTTGTTTTAATTAATTTTTCTCCTTATTTACCAAACTCTCTTCTTTAGACTGACATACAGGGTGTTCCCCTAACCCACTGCACCATCAGAGATTTGTGGCAGAGGCTTAAACAAATTGCTGAAGTCACTGAGAGGATAAAACAAACAGATCAATTCAATCAGGTAAGTCACGCTAAATCCAGGTTTGAAACAACAAAAAATAAATAACCGTAAGCCTAACTGTTATTTGGTACACTATGTAAAAATCCAGTTTCTATACAAAAATATTTAAATTATCAATCATCATTGAACTTATATAATTGTCTGTTTATTACATCTTTAGATTATCATTTAGCCTCAATGTTTTAAATTCTACCATTTTTAGGACTCATTAAAGGTATTAATAAATCAAGTTTAATATTAGATGTGTGTAAATATTACTTTAGTAGACAAAAATCTAATAATTTTTTTAAATGGCCTCTTTCAGAACAACAAGTGGCGTAAGCGAGGTATCACCATGTGTGCTGTTAAATACAACATCCTCCACTTTCCTCCTGGTCAAGTGGTCAATGTTTCTGTGTTTGCTGATGATGGGACAGTCACTGTGATGACTTCAGGAACAGAAATGGGGCAAGGACTTTATACAAAGGTATTTAGGAGTCTTTAGCACATAGGTCATGGGAAGTGATTATATACAAAAATAGAATTCATTGCAGGAATTGTGCACAAATTTAGAACTGAGTGTAAAGACTTTATACAAAAGCCAATCTATAGCCATTTGTGACTAAATCTAGAAAAATACTTCAACAGTTTTGTTTTGTACTTCAGAAGTGATATTGTGCTGCAAAAAGGACTAAAATTAATTATTGTGGATAAATTGACATACCCATTTTGTTTTTCTTTTTAATTAATAGTTCATTTTTTTAAATTTTACTCTTACAATTTTTTTAACTGTCAGAACAAAGATATTGACGGAATGTTTTTAACAGTCAGAACAAAGATATTAACAGAATATTTTTTTAACTGTCAGAAAAAAGATATTGGCAGAATGTTTTTTTAACTGTCAGAACAAAGATATTAACACCATTTTTTTAACTGTCAGAACAAAGATATTGACAGAATGTTTTTTATCTGGCAGGTCTCCCAGGCTGTTGCCAGGACATTGAAAGTCCCACTGAATTACATCAAAGTTAGACCTCAACAAAACAACACCATACCTAACCCGAGCTTCACTGGGGGAAGTTCTGGTAGTGAAATGTGTGTCTCTGTAAGTCTTACCAAGCTCTTTAAATTTGTGTGTCTTACCCCTCAATATGTCTATAGGTGTCTCACTCCTCTTTAAAATGTCTGTCTCTCTGTGTAGGACCTCTTTAAACTATTATTTATAGCTCCAAAAAAAAAAAAGACAGGAGCATAAATTTAATTGTAACTTTTTAAATTCTGTTTAGGCAGCCATCAATGCTTGCAGAGAACTGAATGAGAGACTTGAGCCATTAAGGGCTAAGATGCCAGATGCTGATTGGCCAACTTTACTCAAAATGTGTCATTTTAGTAATATTGATCTGGCAACTAGAGCTAAGTAAGATATAGATATTTATTTTTTTGGTGTTCTGAGATGTCCTTTTTGAATTACTGGGATCATTAAGTTTATTGTTTTTAACAGTATAATAATTTTTAAAATCTACAATATATTTGGTAATCTTTGACATTGTTTAATTACTTTTTTCTGGCAACCATGACATACATACATATTATTACTGTAAAAAAAATACATTATTATGACTAAATACTTGTTAAATTAGTGTCACTTATATTTTGCTAAGCTGTTTTAAAAATTCAGAATCTATTAGAAGAGTAATCTACTTAATTTATGAGGATAAATGTGTATATAAATATTATAGATACTTAAGAACTCTTAACTTTGTAACAAATTTTACATTGTGTAGGTATAAAACAAAAGATAAAATTAGAATCTAACAAATTGTGTGGTATTGTGTAGGTATAAAACAAAAGATAAAATTAGAATCTAACAAATTACTCTGTACCTAGATCTGACAAGGGAGATAAGATGTTGCAGTACCACACCTACTGTGCTGGTGTTGTTGAGACTGAGGTTGATGTCCTAACAGGGGAATACCAGGTCAAGAGAGTTGACATAATGGCGGATTTTGGGGAGAGGTAACTCTAAATACATTGTTTTAAAAAAAGTTGTCTGCCACTCTTTTAAAAAGATGATGAAAGTGTACTTTACTTTATAATCTCATGGAAGTAGTTTAAGTAGTTTTTTTTTAAATAAATTCTTTTATTTAAAAATCTAAAAATTTAGTTTTACAGTATCAGACTTGAATAATTTGATTTTGAAGGAAAGCAAAGCTAAAATTATGTTTTACAGTATCAACCCAACTGTTGACATTGGTCAAGTAGAGGGAGCTTTTGTCATGGGCCTTGGTGCATATTTGTCAGAGGACCTTCATTTTGACAAGAAAACTGGCCAGGTCTTGAATGATGGCACATGGGTATGTAGTTTATTTTATATAGGTAGTGAATGTTGGGTGTTTAAGTCACTCCATTTTCATAGATAATGAATCTTAATGTATGGATTCTTAAGATACTCTATTTTCATGTAGATGGCAAATAATAGATATGTAAGACACCGAATTTTCGTATCAATAGTAAATGATAGGTATCTAGCCTATAAGTAAGAAAAGTTCCCTTCCAAACCTGATGGTCTATGGGGCAAGTAAAGTAGAGTTCACCTGTTTCTGTGACCTTGGCATTTTGAAGGGATAGTGTGGTCAACGTTATGCCCAGCTGCCTCTACTTTTTTAAGGGGACTCAGGGACAGTCTACTCACTTGAACCCGGATTCAAACTCGAGACTTTTAGGTTAGCAGTCTAGGTCTCTACCGCTAAACCATCCCATCCCATACCCTATAGGTAGTGACACAGAATTAATTGAACTGTTGTTTTTAATATAGTTAGTAAAAATAAACCTGTATTATTTCTTTTTAAGTGAAATATGTTTTGGGGAGCAATTGTTTCTGATTTAGCACTGAGTAGTATAAATAAAGTATAGTACATTTTCCTTTACATTTCCCAACTTTAGTCTTGCACCCAGCATTAAAAACTGAGACCAAGATGGGTTCACATCTAAGATCTTTGGATTCACTATACCATGTTGCTCATCTCTACCATATCATTTCTTGTTAAAATAAACATGAGTTAGAATGTACACGTTTTATCTGAAGTTCTGTTGTTTGCCCACTAGGAATACAAACCTCCCACAACAAAAGACATCCCCATAGACTGGAGGATCCACTTCATGCCTGACACACCCAACCCTGTTGGAGTCCTCAGTTCTAAAGGTAGGGAATGTTTAGGGAGTATGAAAGGAATGTGCAGGGAATGTGTAAGGACTAGATAGGGAATGTTTAGCAAATATGTAGGGAATCAAGTACCTAGTATATTAAAACTCTCAGCATCAATCTCAGCATCAGCTTTACTTACTGAAGAACATATTAGCTAACTGAAAGACTTCTTCATTGGTGATAAACAGACCACACATAAAAATATTTGAACTTTTATTAGAAGAGCATTTTTTCTTCTTCCATATTTTCTTCTATATCAATCAGAAAAAGTTTAAGTATTTTTTACAGTTTTAACTAGCTTAATAAAGTCTAGACCTTGCTTAGTCAATCAATCAGTAGATGACAATAAAACACAGACATAAATAATATTTTATACTGCTAAGTTTAGCTTTTGTTTCCACCATCTGTAGCTGTGGGAGAGCCTCCCATTAGTCTGGCTGTTGGAGCTCTTCTTTCTATCAAGAGTGGAGTGGAGGCAGTCAGAGAAGAGTTGACTGGTGAAAGATCTTTTATCCCTGTTGGTAAGTCAAACATTGTTAACCCTTTTGTTGTTGTTGGTAAGTCCAGCATTGCTGGGCACCATGTTAACCCTTTTGTTTCTGTTGGTAAGTTCTGAAAAAGTCCTGAAAAAACCTGTTATTCATTTAATTCCCTTTAGTACGTTGAGCATTGCCTATTCTCAACATGTTTTACATGTTGGTTATTTTAGCATTGTTTAATTTGAAGCATTTTCTAGATGCTAAATGAAATTATAATGTAAACAGTGGCGTAGCTACCGTAAAGCTAGCATAAGCAAGGCATAGGGGCCCAAGGCAAATAGGGGCCCTTTTTCGAAAGTTTGAGGGGGCGGGTGCAAATCGAAAGTCTGAAGGGGGGTGCAAATCGAAAGTTTGAGGAGGGGATGCAAATCAGAAGTTTGTCCCCGGTCGCCGGGAAGGGTTGCTACGCCTCTGAGGGGCCCACTAACACTTTTTGCATAGGGGCCCAAAAATCCTAGCTATGCCACTGAATGTAAATACAAACTACAATTTTATATTTGTATAATTTTAATTATACAAATTAAAACAGTAACTTAGCATGAACTACTATATAAATGTAAAACAATAAATTTGAATTTGATTACAAATACAATTTCTGATACAGAGGCCCCATACACAGTGGAGAAGGTCCAGCTTAGCACTGGTATCAATTTGGAACATTTGAAAGTCTAGCTGGAAATTTCAGTTTCATCTCAAATCTTGGTTTTCAAGACATGTGTTTAAAAGTTATTATATTTGTAAATAATGAATACAAAGATTTTGCTTAGCTTTCAACCTATTGAACAGAAATATTTATCACTTTTATAATATTTATAGTGTTATATTGGCTTTGCATAATAATGCACTTTATACACTTTTAGCTTATAATGAATCTTGTTGATGGATTTATCAATCATATATAGATAAATAGATATTTCTCAATACAGTTTTTGTACATATCTATCTATTTCTGATGATTTTACTAGAAAATTACTGATCCCAGTGAGATATTTATTTAAAATACAATTTAAAAAAAAAACATTTGTTTTATTTATTTATAAATTAATTTTGTTAGTGGAAATCTCAGTTAATGAACTCTTAATTTTTTTCATCATTGTTTTATAATAAATATTTTTTATGAACTAATTTTAGGTTATATTTACCTCAAATAAAATGTAAGCATACAGTAATTTTTATGGAGACACATTGGCTAAACCAACTTTAAAATCTACTGGTTAAATTATCATAAAAACATTTACTGTTTGACTCAATTAGAAATTATTTTGTAATTCAGGCAGCTCAGATGCCAAAATTTGTTTTAAGAGACTTCTTACAGTAATCATTCAACATTTAAAACTATTTATAAAACTTTTTTTTTTTAATAGCACAAAGTGTTTTATAGTTTATTGAGACTTGATTTATTAACTCAAGTTTACATTCTATCTATAAATGTAATGTAACAATCTATTAAAAAAATATATTCAAAAAACATTTTTTGTGTTTGCACTTTTAATAAAATTTCTACTCACTTAGATATAAAAGTTGCACTTATTCAATAAACAATAATTGGAATTCTTTTCTAATGTTGTTTTATTTATTCTTCTAAACATATACATTATTATTATGTTATTGTAAATTTTAAAAAATATTATTTTACAGCATCAGCATTAATCGTAATGATGTCATCTGTCCCATCAGTACTGACCTGTATGTCATCAGCCCCATTAGTACTGATCTGTATGTCATCTGCCCCATTAGTACTGATCTGTATGTCATCTGCCCCATCAGTACTGACCTGTATGTCATCAGCCCCATTAGTACTGATCTGTATGTCATCTGCCCCATTAGTACTGATCTGTATGTCATCTGCCCCATCAGTAGACCTACTAACTGTGAAACGTATCAGACCCCCCCCCCCCTGTATTTCATCCACACTGATAACACTAAATGTTTGAATAGCACTTCATCACTTCCATTGCAATCGGACTGTAGAAGTATAAACGTTTGTGACAAGACCGCTCGTTTTTCAAAAAAAAAAAATAATAAAATAAAATATCTCGGGACTCTTAAGGTTTTCTTTTGTAATCGAGAATCTGTTGTAATCGATCCATTCTTTTTCCCACCAAAAGCAACAAAGATTTTTATCTGTCCAAAGACAAATTCAGTGCTTTCATCCCAACACACACAGAATGCAATAAATCTTTTTTTTTTTTTTTGCAAACCACTGATGTAGATAAAAATATAACGACAGATTATCTGATAATGAATAGATGATAAAAGCATAATTATGTAAATAAATTAAGAAGAGGAAAGTATAACTATGCAGAAAGATAAAGAAATGATAAGTATAATGACGACTGGGGGAAGGGGGGTGGATATGTTTTAACCCTTTATCTACTGACGGTACTTATAAGTACCACTTTAATTAATTGCCTGTATTATATTAAATTAAATACGAATTTTAAAAATTATTGATATATTTTATAGTATTATCTCCCCCGAGTCGCCGGTAGTCGGAGGTATCAATGTTTTTTAAAAATTAATGGTGTGGCGCTTTTTCAATGTCTTGCTATATCGGTAGTTCACAATTTTTCTGTACATTTCTCACACCCGTTCCTGATTTCCTTTTGTTTTACCTTATTTTTCAAGTTTTCAACCCCAAATATTTTTTATTGGCACCTTCAATAGTCAGGCAAACGTGTTTAACTTCTAGTTATACAATTTTACTCAAATTGTCTTTGTATTAGATCGATGTTTACAAGTGGACTTATAAGTACCGTCAGGGCACACGGTCATTTTTTTTAGGATTTTTAGAAAATTGCAGATTTGTTAGGTGGAGTTACATAAATATTGTCTTGATAATTACTTATCGAAATGTACTCAAAAAATGATATTTACACATTTATAAGAAGGTTTGCATATGGTTTACCTAAGAAATATTGTAATTACATGTTCATTTCTAGTAGTAAAAAAATAACAAGAATAAAGGTATCAGTTGCAGACTCGTTTATAAGGTTTAGTATACTTCATTTGTATACCAAAGCCTAGTTCAGGTTGTAAGATTTAATTTGTTAGTTATATTTACTGCAATAAACTGTCTTGCCTACAACAACTAGCATTTACATAATGTAAACCTGTAGACTAGTAATAGTCCATACTTCTGCATATAGTATAGATCTATAAGATAAATTTTAATCAGTAAACAGAAAAGAGTAATCCACTACTTCTTCCAAAACACATTGAGCTCACTTCTATTTATGAACTTTGCACTGTAGTGTAGACTTGTCATAACATTATAGTAGGCTACAATTATATTAGTATTTCTAGTAGTTGTGTGCTGAATGACTAGGCTTTTGTTTGTTTATGCGGCTCATTGTACTAGTTATTGGAAGCTTCCAGCAAAAGCATATTCATTCCGGCAACCGTTGCAACACTAGAAAGACCACAGACAAGATTGAGGGAGCATGACATGTCGACTACTTTTGCTGTGTTTGAGGTCTAAGATGTGTTCCGATAGAAAATCCAGTAAAAATCGTACTCAAAATATACTTTTGTGCTGTATTTATGTGTGAAAATTACAAAAAGTGATTGTTAAAATGATTGCCATGTTATTAGTTAATAAATTGTATCGTTTGTTCCTGTTTTGTAAAAAAAAATTTTTTGAAAAAAAATGTCCTAGTTTACTGACGGTACTTATAAGTACCAATATCTGTTTTGGCCATTAAAAATTTATGAAACGAAATTTCCTTCAATATATGCTTTGAATGTGCCAAAAGCAATATAGTAACACATTGTTTAAGTAAAAATCTCATTCAGAACATAATTCCGTAAATAAAGGGTTAAAAGTCCGCCTCTGGTCCTGGGGCATAGCGACCCATTCCGGCGCACGGGGTGGAATATCAATTATAACCCCTTCCTTCCATTTCTCTATATAGTTATTCCTATTTGTAAAAAAAAGTCCCCCCCCCTCCCCACACCAAGTTGGAAAGGTTTGTGGCGCTTCTTACCAGTTGCTGTACAGTAACAGTTTCTAATATGGTGCCACAAAATCGCTGTAGAAAACAATTAAATCAGTGTGTAAAGTCTTGAAGTCGTTTATTTTCGTAAATTTGTGTATAATTTAATACTTCAGCTTAAAATGAGCTTTTTGTAGTCTCTTTGGCGCCCCCTACGGTCGGCGCCCTGGTCGGCCGCCCCCACCCGCCCACTGCTCAGGTCTAGTCATTTTCGTTGAGTTTAAAATCTAAGGCATGTCACTTCATCAAACAGCGTGTTGCGCTGCAGTTCACAAATCGTAACAAGTCCGTACACGTACTAGTACTATTACAGCAAATATGTTTGCGAGGTAAGTTGTTTATTTACTCTATCACTTTCAGGAATTTTACATTAGTTCTCAGAAGTAGAAACGATAAATATTTTAAGCTATTTTAGGGTAGGTAAAGGGTTTACGGTTAAAGCTATGTAGTGACAGGTAGTGTTTCTTTCAGGTTTTTCTATGGGGGAAGTGGCACTGCTCTCCCTACCCCGGACAAAATATATAAACAATATCGCCCCCACCCTCACACCCTTCTGAAGTTTTAAGTCCGCCCCCCCCCCTCCCGAAGTTTCTGAAACTCCTCTGGCGTAGCAACAAATGTCTATAAAAAAACTGTAGCTATGTGTTATCGTCTAGATTGCAGCTAGATTTGTTAGTTTGGGGCTAGGTTTGAGATATGTGAGCAGAGGCATTTTTGTATTATAAATATAAAAAATATAGGCCTAATGGGGGGGGGCGCCATATTGAAATTTTGTCCCCGGGCGCCGGGAGGGGCCGCTACGCCTCTGTATGTGAGTATGACTAACCAAAACAAAAAGCAACATAGAAATGCGTATCATTGAAGCATATCATTATAGATGCTAGCATAGTACCACACTGGGTACCTTACACTGGGTACTATACACTGGGTATTATGCACTATGTACTTAATTAATGAATTAATGGGAGGGGGGTGAGGGGCAGACACTGGCATCCTGGCAAAAGTATACATTTTCTATATAAATTCTATTTCATTCGAGAGTGGGAAGGAGGCGGTAGACGCGCTTGCACACCCCCCCCCCCCCCCCCCCAAGAGATGCCTGAAATAAACTGTTTAGTTTGTTTTTCATTGCCCTTATTTACATACCAGCAGTCAATAAGTTTGACAAACATACAAGTTGTAGCCTACACAAGTCAACACAAAACAAAGAACCTTTCGTCCGTAGACAAACGGAGGCCTAGGCTAACATAAAAGATATTTTGATACGACGCGATACACTTTAGATCGTACAGTCTGCACTCTATAAAGTCCAGGATGTTTATTGTTTGTGTTGATTAAAGAAAATTAGTCACCTCGAGTTGGTCTTAAGATGAGAATATCCGGTTTTTGGAGTAGGTGGTTGTTGTTTTTTTTTAACCAGCGTTAAAAGTAAATTTAGAATTGAAAACAACAATATTTACACACTGAGCTATAGGCTTCTTGTTATATATTGATAGAAGTGCTTTTTTTTAAAGAGGAAGCGAGGGAGGAGGTGGATGGTTCGGCTAATTATAGTGTAGTGAAATTGTAGTCAATTGTGCTTAGTAGGGCAAGAAGAAAAATTCATATCTTAATAAATAGTTGTTATTATATCATGAAAATTGGATGAACTATTAGCAGAGTTTCTTCCAGGCATCGCTTTGCCCCCGAAAAAAATTTACCCCCCCCCCCCCCCCCGAGCGAAATGAAATTTATATAATTTATATAGAAAATATATACTTTTAACAGTGTCCGCCCCCCCCCCCCCCCGAAAATTTCAAGTGCCCCCCCCCCCCCCCCCCGGAGAAAAAGTCTGGAAGAAACACTGACTATTAGGCCAAGCTTGATCTTTAATTAGAATATCGGAGCAAGCTGATATTATGGAAATCTACTTTAATTAGGTGTATATGATTATATTTTTTTACAATATTTGGATGTTTGAAGTATTATTGTTTAAGAACAACTTATTGATGTTATTTGTAATTTGTATCATTGTAAAGGAAATTGTCTGTGGTTTCAGAGGATAAGCTTATTAGAATTTTAGGAGATCGCGTTAAGTTTGTATATAGAGTTATTTGGGGTCGGTTAGCACAAAAGCGGGGGAAATTTTCACAGGTAAGCGCTAGAATTCGTGCCAAGAGCAAGGTGTCATCCGAGACGCTCGCGAGTGGGGTATATAAGCCGGTGGGTTAGTCTTAGAGGGGATGGAGAAACGACGGCCCTAGCCAGTAATTTATGCAGCACACGTTTTGGCGCTATAGTCTTGTTAGATGCGCGCTACACAGACAATTCCCGCTCAAGAAAGATAGTCAAATAAAGATTTGCAGAAGACGGCTTCTTCTTCATTCTTGATCGTCTGTGACTGAGAGTGAGAAATAGAAGAGAAGAAGAACGTTACATTTGATAGAAGCAAGAATATTACAATAGAACAGTACTTTTCAGGCAGTAAAAACATTACAATATACATTGTTTTGTTTTTTTTAATGTTAGAACTTTTAAAATATGAAGGTTATAAATCCATGACAAAATTGAACAAAAATTTATAATAATGAGAATATTGCAATGTCCTAGGTTAATATTTAAAATATTTTACCCTTCAGACAGTGTCGTCGCTAGGTCGGGTGTCACCCCCACCCCAAATATATATATATATATATATATATATATATATATATATATATATATATATATACCGTCTACATATGCCTATATATATTGTTGCAATTGGTGTCATCCCCTCCCATTTCGCCTAATGGGGTCAATGTGTGCGCACATGATATTAATCCACCAATTAATTCATGTGGAAAAAGTATCGTTTTCATCGTAAATTATAAGATTTCGGTGTCACCCCCCTTCCCGGTCGTTGATTGACTTATCAGTTATTCAAAATACTCAACACAACCTTTTTTCCTCTGTAAAATTTGTAGTTGGTGTTGCACTCCCCCCCTCCCTTCCCCACCCTCGGGTGATAGTTTTAAAGTGTGCACCGTTAACACTGAAGATGTTTATCTTTAGTCAGTTATTAATATAGGTGGATTAACTAATTCATCATTAATTGAAATGGCAAACAGCAAATTTCTTCTATATATATTGCAATTTTCTCCATGTTGTCTACCCCCCTAAATGGTGTCACCCGGTGCCATCCGCACCCCCCCCCCCCCCCGCCTCGCGACGCCTCTGCCTACAGAGATATTAGATTTAAACCTTCCGCCAGCTAAGTAAGGAATTGCTGCAGTTTGTACTTTTGAAATAGTCTAGCGCTCTACCTTTAGGCCACGCCGTATTCTAACGATAAGGACGTGTGTAAACGTGAGCGCAAAGCCTTAGAAATGGAAACGATTCGTGGGAGAGAAGTTTACCAGTATCGACAAGTGGAGGTACACTGAGTACAGACAGAAATACACAGACACAGACAGACAGACAGACAGACACACACATATATATATATATATATATATATATATATATATATATATATATATATATATATATATATATATATATATATATATATATATATATATATATATATATATATATATATATATATATATATATATATATATATATGCTATACATATATATATATGCTATACATATAAATATACATATATATATATATATATATATATATATATATATATATATATATATATACATAATACATACAATATATACAAATATATAAAGGCCTACATGTATATATATATATATATATATATATATATATATATATATATATATATATATATATATATATATATATATATATATATATATATATATATATATATATATATATGTTTGTACGTATAAAGGCCTATATGGGTGTAAAGTATGTATGTATGCACGTATATGTATTTGGGGTTGGGGAAAAAATCGAGTTCACCCTGGACGCTTTAAGGTCAAATGTAACTGGTTCTATGAATGCCGGAACCCCGTGCCGACTGATTGATTTTTAACTAGTTTGACACTCTTTCAGTGGGGTAGGAATTTCAATATCATATTCCATAGTAAGGAAACAAAGAGAACACGTGACAGCGGAGAAGGGGCAGACACTTGCACTGTAGACTTTTTTTGTAATGTCACTGCACAAGAGGTGCTTCCAGCTTCGAGGTAGTGGGATAAAACAAGATCTAGCGTCGTGGAAACAGTGTACGCTTAGAAGTAGCAGTCAGTATAAAGCTGTTTCTAGCTTGGAAGTAGCAGTTAGTATAAAACTGTTTCTAGCTTGGAAGTAGCAGTCAGTATAAAACTGTTTCTAGCTTGGAAGTAGCAGTTAGTATAAAACTGTTTCTAGCTTGGAAGTAGCAGTCAGTATAAAACTGTTTCTAGCTTGGAAGTAGCAGTCAATATAAAACTTTAGCTTGGGAATAACCGTATAAAACAGCTCGTCGCTTAGACGTAGCCGTAGAACACCTTTCAGCTTAGAGGCAGCCTTTTAAATAACTAAGGTGTTTCTAGCTAGAATAGAGTCCCACAGGATTTAACATGTATAGTGAGTGGAGAAAGCAGGGTTGGCCTCACTCGGGCCCACGGGCTAAACTAGCACCACAGTAAGTTATCCTCTCTGTATTTTTTTTTTTTTTGTGTGGTAATTTTTATAGGCCTACTAATTATTTTTAAAGTGTTAAGCTTAGAGCTAGGTTATAATATCGGTAATTAAAGTATTCAAATTATAAAGTATTTTATATAATATATATATATATATATATATATATATATATATATATATATATATATATATATATATATATATATATATATATATATATATATATTGGCCTATACATATATATAGGCCTATTTAATGCACATACATATAAGAATACACACACAATATACATATATAACTATATTAGCTTACCTGTCGCATGTTGCTGCGATCTAAGAAGAAATAAATACACTTTTAATATGCGTGTTCAACTTCTAAATAACGCATTCGCCGTAGGTAATTCAATAAGACCGGTATGAAACCCCACTTATGTAAATAAAGCCGGTTCTGCATTTCTTGAGTCAAAGTTTTTGGGGCGCGTTTGCTCATAATATCGTTTAGAAGTCCCAATGTGTGCTGGATTAAAACTTAGACAGTCCGTTGATTATACACAGCAAGTTTGGGGGTAGAGCATTCTACAGCCCAAGACTCGGGGGCGTAGTGAAGCGCTCTTGGGAGCCACCGGTTACTCTAGGGACGCCGACTATGACTCTTTTACGTCATCGAATGGCGCCCCGGTTGACACTAGTCAGCGTGCTAATCGCTTACCGTTAGGTGCAATCTGTCCCAAATAATTGTGTTTGGTAGGAACCTTGATTGGAGTGTACTCAACAACTTCCAAAGCTCATGTTGATCTGATTAATGGTGTAATGATATAACAGATATATCTATCTAGCTATCTATATATATATATATATATATATATATAAAGCAATGTATGTATGTGTGTGTGTCTGTGTGTGTGTCTGTGTGTGTGTGTCTTTTATGCATTACCAATTGAGAAGTTGTTAAGAATATCCCTGGGGAGGTTTCTGAGAAAAAAAAAAATTCAAATTCGCAGGGGTGGCGCCCCGGCAGGGCGCGATTTGTTTTTTTCTATATACGGTATATAAAAATAAAAGTCGATTTTGGTTTAGCATCGTTCATCCGATAGCCATGAGACTTTGGGGAGTTCATTATACCACTCTAGGGAAGGGTTCTGTAAAAAAATATATTTAATTTCGCAAGGGCGGCGCCACGGGAGGGTCCGATTTTTCTCTATATACGGTATATAAAAATAATAAAAGTGAATTGCAGTGACACCGTTCATCCGATAGGCATGAAACTTTAGGCAGTTTAGGGAGTTCATTATAAAACTCTAGGAAAGGGTTCTGTAAAAAATCATTTTTAATTTCGCAAGGGGAGCGCCACGGGAGGGTGCGATTTTTCTCTATATACGGTATATAAAAATAAAAGTCGATTTTGGTGTGACACCGCTATCCGATAACCATGAGACTTTTGGGGAGTTTATTGGGACACTCCAGGGAAGGTTTCTGTAAACAAATCTTTTTTTTCGCAACGGCGGCGCCACGGAATGGTGGGATTTTTCTCAATATACGGTATACAAAAATAAAAGTCGATTCTGGTTTGACACCATTGATCTGATGGCCATCAAACTTTGGGGAGTTGATTAGAACAATTCAGGGAAGGGTTCTGTAAAAAAAAAATCCTTTTTTAATTTCGCTAGGGCGGCGACACGGGAGGCTGCGATTTTTCTCTGTATACGGTTTTATAAAAATAAAAGTCTATTTCGGTTTCACACCGTTCATCCGTGTACTATGAAACTTTGGGGAGATGATTATATCACTCAATAGTAGGGTTCTGCAAAAAAAATATTTTTTAATATTGCAAGGGCGGCGCCCCCCGGGGGGGGCGACTTTTTTTCTCTATACACGGTATATTAAAAAATAAAACTCGGATGAGAATACTCCAGAAAATATTTCTGCGAAAAAGAAAACTAAAGTTTCTTATGGGCGGCGCCATATAGGGTACAATTTTCGTCAATACACGGTTTGGCGCCCAGAGTTTTAGAGCGACTATGTTGGCACTCGGCATCCGTTAATCGAGCGTCCTGCATAGCGAGTAAGGGGTACTACTATATTCAGCGGTAAAACAACAACAGGCTTCTAAAAATAACTTTGTAACGCGAGGTAATCCTTCTGTACAGTTTCGTCAACTTGCCAAATATGAAAAAATAACTTTTTGAATATGAGGAGCCTTCTGTAGAGTTTCGTCACTTTGCGAATGATGCAATAAGCATCTATTATTGGACAATCCAGTCAGAAATTGAGATCAAGCATCTAATAATAGACCATTAGTAACGCTAGCATATTGATCAGTCACACTGATGTTTAAAACACGTCAAATACTTTTTTTACGTGTTAAAGAAAAAAATCCTGTTCATTTGTGTCACTTTAGCGAATGACGAAATCAGCATCATTATTAACAGGATGCTATTTGGCACGATGGCGCCGGTTAGTTTTAAGGAGCCAGGGGTCGTACGCTGCGGGGGAGGGGGCTCCTGAGAGCGCCCCTCTACGTCTCTGACACATGGGCGGTCACCGAAGTGTGTTCTACCATATTATTTCGGTGAGTGATTAATGTACACTCAAGATTTTCATGCGGTAGTGTAGGTAAACCCGTGTCCCGATATTTATGATCCAAGCGCAGGCATTGTTTACATTTAAATAACTCACTTTTAGAAAAAGAAGGTCACGCGTCTAAGAACATACGATTGGTAACGCGTTGGTGAAATCCTTCTAATATATTTCGTCAAACTTTCTTCTATCCCCGCGGCAACGCGCGGGGGACGGGTACGCTAGTATATATATATATATATATATATATATATATATATATATATATATATATATATATATATATATATATATATATATATATATATACTAACTTTATTAAATTTATCTACAGACCGGGTGACGCCTACAACATACAGTTTACAATTAATGGCGAGAGACATGTTGGTAGGTATTGGGAGGGTGGATGTAAATAGTGTAACTAAACAGCATGTAAAGATGCTGGAGGTAGATCTAGCTACAGCGGTGGTTGGTAATGGTAGATCTAGCTACAGCGGTGGTTGGTGATGGTGATGGTAGATCTAGCTACAGCGGTGGTTGGTGATGGTGGGACTGGTTATTGTGTAAATGACTGTGTTTGTTTCACCAATGAAAGCTTATCGTGGCGTTTCTTTCTTTCTAACGCGTGTTACCATAGCACTACTTTTAATCTCTGGTTCAGATACTGAGCCTTCTATAATTACAATACTACTAAAAGCCCATAATATATTTCCGTAAGAGACTGTTAGTCAGCATTTGTGGCAGCAATATTCACAGCTGGTAAATGGAACTCATATCTTTGAGTGTATGATAAGTATCTACCCACCACATCACTAAATGATATCTTTCAGTGTATGATAAGTATCCACCCACCACATCACTAAATGATATCTTTCAGTGTATGATAAGTATCCACCCACCACATCACTAAATGATATCTTTCAGTGTATGATAAGTATCCACCCACCACACCACTAAATGATATCTTTCAGTGTATGATAAGTATCCACCCACCACATCAATATAGATATCTTTCAGTGTATGATAAGTATCCACCCACCACACCACTAAATGATATCTTTCAGTGTATGATAAGTATCCACCCACCACATCACTAAATGATATCTTTCAGTGTATGATAAGTATCCACCCACCACATCACTAAACGATTACATCAGAGATGTTGCTGGACTTAAGGGGACGAAAATCATGTGCAAGGAGGCCGGATGTGGATGTTGTGCAGTGACCGTGACCTACGCCCCAGGGGGAGATAAGGCAGAGACCATGAGCATTAACTCGGTATAACATGATTTTACTCAGAAGAGAACACATTTTCTTTTCACGTGTAGAATTAAGCTTTTAAAAGAAAAAAAGAATGTATTAGTTCAGGCATGTCATTGAACTCATATTTATATTTTAAAATTACTAAAATGCTTTTGAAATTGTACAATGTTTCAGGATATATATATATATATATATATATATATATATATATATATATATATATATATATATATATATATATATATATATATATATATATATATTATAAGTTACTTTTAATAATTTAATAATAGTCCTTGCAAAATATGTTGGGATGAATTAAACATTGAAATTTAATACAATCATAGAACTTCAACAACAAAACTTCTTTAACGTGTCTCTCATATCTTAATGTTACTCAAGCACACCATAATCAATCATTCAATGCTTCACTCTAATTACTAAGAGATACATCAAAAGAAATGGCTTGAATAAGTAAGGAGTAGATACTAAGTATGAAAAAAAAATTTTTAGATCTTGCCAGAGAATATTTGAAATAATAAAAGATTGAGAGGGATGCTATTCCATTATATTCTGATCATGATACATCAACATGCCGGTATCTATAAACTGTATTTAATAAATTATGTCACAGTCATTAGATACAAATGATATTTCTTGACAAATAATGTCTTCGCTATAATTATGCTATATATTATATTTATGAATTATTATATTGATAGTGTGTATAATTTTGATTTAATGTTTTATGCCGCTGGCAGAAGATAAAATTTATTTATTGACTTACCTCCCTTCCAATGTCTTTTTTTTAATGAGTTACCTCCTTGTCAGTATATGATTTCATTTATTGAGTTACCTCCCCTGCTAGTGTCTCTGCCCCCTGTACAGTGTAGACGGCTGGCAGATCACCACTGTTGAAGGTATAGGCAGTCAAAAAGATGGATTCCACCCAATCCAGGAGAGGATTGCCCAGCATAACGGTACTCAGTGTGGCTACTGTACTCCTGGTTTTGTCATGTCCATGTATGGGTGAGTCAAAAATAAGTTCATCAGTTCTTTCAACCAATTGTGCAAAACGATATTTATTTTTAGTGACAAAGCAAATCTAGCTAAAAACGCGACACATTTAAAATAACATAGTTACACATAGGCTACTAACTAAGTTACTAAAGTCTAGTTACTAACTAATACTTATTTTTAATCCTATAGAAAAATTAAAACCAAATTATAGGCACACACAGATGAAGAGGCTTAAATGATTTCGTTAAAAACCCAGCTGTTCAATGCTATATATGTTGTATATATGTATACGTTTATATGTATATATGTATATATATATGTATATAAATGTATATATATGTATATATATATATTTTATTTTTTTATTTTTTATATATCAGGATTGATCTAAACAATTTCTAATGTAAAAGCTGTTATTGTTAATGTTGAACAGTTCTTTCTGACCTAGAATACTTGATCTATATAGTAATATGTTTTTCCTGAAATAGATAAGATTAGATTAAATTTACCTGACTTTTTAAAATGTTTTTAAAATTGTTAGACATAGAATCTATAAGTCCACCTACAGAGCTCATTATAAGCATAGATTTGTGTAAGTGTAAGCCTACACAGTGATATAAAAACATAAACTACAATAAAAATAAAACCAATGAAACTATTTTCTAACCAGACTACTCCACCAGAAGCCCCAGCTGAGCCAGCAGGAGATAGAAGACTCATTTGATGGTCACGTATGCAGGTGTACAGGCTACAGGTCAATCCTGGATGCCATGAAGTCTTTTGCTACAGACTCCACTATTCCAGGAGCCAGGTGTGTCGACATTGAGGTCAGTGGATTGATTGTTGTAGGCCTTTAAGTAGCATTTAAGTTCAATTATGTTCACTGAAGTTTAGGGATAAAGTGTAGCGTCAACTGACTAAGTGCTTGAAGTGAAGCTGCTCCACTTATTTCACCCCCCAACCCCACCCTTTCACCTTTTCACCCCTGCCGGCATCTTTTGTAAGTTCAGGTCATCTGATTTACAAAGTATATCCACTTTATAAAACAGATTATTTCTTTACATTTTGTTTTAGTTTTTACCTTTTATAGTATACACTTCTTTTTCTGTATTACAGGATCTTAATAAACATCTGTGCCCCAAAACTGGAGAGGTTTGCAAAGGGAAGCAAGAAGGATGTTCTCATGGCTTATCCCTTGACTTGCATGAAAGCAAATGGTACAGACCAAACAACCTGCAAGAGCTTGGGAAACTTCTCATAGAAAATAGCACCAGGAGCACAAAACTTTTGTTTGGCAACACATCCACAGGCAAGTTGTTCTGGCAATTTTAAAAAAAATTATTTTCTAATTGTAAAAACAACATGCAGGAATGTCAAAAACAATCTGTGGAGAAAAAAATAAAAAGCTTAAGAGATAAAAAAAAAACAGCTAGTTGTCTGTAATATAATAGTTTTTTTTTTCTTTTTAAAATTACATTGATGTAAAAGTAAAATGTTAAAAAAAAATTAATTTGTCAAGGATAGAGTAATTTTCAAGTAAGTTATTTTCAAAATTTTGTTTATATTGTGCTAATTTTTATAATGATTGGTAAAATAACATATTATAGAGGTAAGATAAAACACAAAAGATATTTACATAATTTATAATTCCTATTGTATCAACATTTTTTTTTTGCTTTTAGGAATATTCAAGAATGAAGGACCTTATCAGGTTTATATTGATCTTCATGGTGTGAAAGAGCTTTACCTGTTTAAAGTAAATTATTTTTAAACAAATATTATTGCTGTTTTGTATTTAATTTTAAAATCAAACTTATAATCTAAGTAAAGCTTTTCTAAATGAATTAGAGTAGAATTTTAGACAAAAATGTTAAGCATGAGATGCAACATAATAAGCAAGAATGTAGACATAAGCATCAACACCATTTTGGCACCTGCCTTGAAATAAATGAAAAGCCAATTTTTTTAAAAACTGTCTTTTATGATTGACAGCAATCCTGGCTCAACCTAAGCACATGACTAGGTCTATTCTTTGACTTCTTCTTCATTCTTAATTGTCCAAACTCAATCCTTTTAGAGTTTGCAGTCATATTCTCTCACACTCGACCATATCATCCCCTTTTGAATAAAAAAAAAGATTTTAGTTTTGTTATTATTTTAAAATCATGTTGTTTGGTTTTATTGAACGGTACAGTTTTTTTTTTATGAATTACACTGTGGTCTAAATTTTATTCTAATAATTTGTCCATTTAATGGTTTTCTTGGTATGAATTACACTATGGTCTGACTAGTTTTTGTTCTCACTTTCAGTATTTTCTCTCCATCCACCTGTTGAGGTCAGTAAAAATTTTGATCCCCACTGATGTAAAAATCCTTACAGGAAAACACAGACAGTGTTGTGTTTGGTGGCAACACCACACTCTCTAAGCTGAAGGACCATCTGAAGGAGCTGCAACACAAGGCTGGCTTCTCCTACTTCACTGCAGTCATTCGTCATCTCAAAGTCATTGCCAGTGTGCTGGTTAGAAATGTAAGGCAGCTTCTGATTGGTTTAAATTATTAGAAAAATGTAAGATTGCTGGCTACTATTTATGGCTTGTTGAATCAAATTGGCACCTTTGCTATTGATTAAAGGAAACTTACATGAGGAATTCACAATTATGCAAAAAAAAATTTATTTTTTTAGATATAATTTAGCTTATATAATAATAATTTTTTTATTTAAAATTCAAAAGGTAAATTAAAAACTAAATTTGATAATACTTGTCTTAATAATTTCGCAGGCTGGTTGCATTGCAGGAAATTTAATGATAAAGAAAAACTATCATGAATTTCCATCAGATCTTTTTACTTTGACAGAAGCTATTGGAGCCAGTGTTGGTATCTTTGGTAAGATTTTTTTCCGTTACATTTGGGTGACTTTTTAAATTATATATTATAACATTATCTCACATCTAACAGGAAACTAACATGAACATTTTTTGTTTGCCTTATATACAAATAATATTCATGCATTTTCTTAATTTTAACTTTTTTGAAACTTTTTAAAGTGACCAAACACAAATATTTAAAATACAGATTTGTTGATTTAAAAAATTATTATTTGTGATTTAAAATATCCAGATGCTAAAGATGGCAGCACAAAGAAATACAGCCTGTTGGACTTCTTACAAAAAGTGGACATGAAGCAAAAAGTCATAGCTTTTCTTCAACTCCCAAGCTTTAAACAGTCTGAAGTCTTCTGTTCTTTTAAAATTACTCCAAGATGGCAGGTACTCTCATGAAAAAATCAGTTGTATTTTTTGCTCTTTATATCTATAAAGTTACAAAAAAAAATTTTTTAAATATCTGATAACGGCACACTGCATTTGTGAATGACAAACTGAAGAAAAACCTACAGATTTAGGAAAATGAGTTTTTGGGATAATCTGTTCTTTACACTAGAATAATTGCAAGATTATGTATTAAATGAATAATTTCTAGTGTTTAAGAAAGAATAGAGTTTATGTGCTTTGTGTTATCATATTTTTTGTTAGAGCAAAGTCTGTTATGAGATTGTGTGTCTGAAATAAAATGTTTTGAACTTTTTAAAAAATTAGGCAATATAACATGGCAAGATGAACCATTAAATTATACTAGCTTGAAAATATCTGTATTATTTAATATTTAAACTAAAACTAACTTATTTTAACAGAATGCTCATGCATATGTAAATGCTGCATTTAAGCTTGAAGTTGAGGGCGAAAAGGTTACAGGAACTCCATCTTTTGTGTATGGAGGTATCAGCAACAATTTGGTAAGATTTGTTTACTCACCTCAATAATACAGCTAGATTAAGATCATATTATTAAAACGTGCAAATCTGCTTGTAACAATTTCAATCCGATGTTTATATATACAGTTACACCTGCAATTCTAGGAATGTTTTCACATTGTACTGATTCTTTCTTCAATCTAATGGGAGAACTGAAAAACCAAATTGTTCTGAAAAAATAATTGATCCAATCGTTATTTGCATTTCTGTGATTACTGGTTTGAGACTAGCCTACTTTAGCATTTCTTTGCCAAGAGTAATTTTTCATAAGCTTTTTTTAAAATAAAGACAGTTGCATCATAAAGTGGGGGGTAGGGAGTGGCCAGAGGGGGTGACACCTAAGCAAAAACTACCAAATTTACCAAGTAAACATTAGTTTTCAAGTTCACTTCACAACTGATTACAGTTAATTACATCTTGAATCACAGATCATCCTATGCGGGGAAATCTATGCAAAAATAAGCTAATTATAAACTGATTACCATTAAATTAACCCCAAAGCATGGTATGACACCATCCACCAGAGAGGTGGGGGTTAAAAACTAAAGTTACCATACTGGGTGACGCCAGTGTGTGAAATAAATAAGTTTGTTAAATCAATTTTTTTAGGTTCATGCTTCCAAAGCTGAAGCATTTATTAAAGGGAAGCAACTCGACAACAAAGTCATTTCAGGTAAAGACTTTTTGTTCCTCTTGCAATTTAAATAGTCTTCTAGCTTAAAATTCAAAGCAATAATGTTAAATTATAGCTTTGGTTTAACAATGAAAAACTTCTAATACCCATGTTCAAAGATAGAATTTATACATTATAGTTTTTTAACAATTAACTATGCTTCATTGTTTTTGTTTTTAATTGTATGTTATAGTTTTTAAAAAGGTAACTTTGAAAATGACTGTTTTAAAAAGAGTTTTTTCAACAGACACTTAGTGATAAATAACTGTTTCTGTCAATTCAGTCAATGCTGATAATCGTTTAAGCTTCTAAACTTTTAAATAAATTATTTCTTTTAGAAACATTGAAGGTTATATCTGGTGAGCTGATTCCAGCAGAAGATGATCCACTTGCTGCGTCTGCTAAATACAGACATGACCTGGCTGTCAATCTCCTGTATAAGGTGTGTGGAGCTTTTTCTTTTATTTTGCCATAATTTTCTATCTTAAAAAGTTTAATGTTAAATAGTTTGTTTAGAAAATTTGGATATATATATAAAGCTATAAAGAATCAAAGAATATGCTTTATAAGATAATATCTGTGTTCAATTTATATAACTATTTTTTTTATAAATATATTCTATATATATTTTTCTTTCTTACACATAAGTTTTAAAGTTTCAATATTGTTTCTACAAATGTACACGTCACTGTAATGTATTAAATAGCATTAAAAAAAATAACTATTCCACACCTGACAGACACTTTTAGAGGTCTACAAACCATCAGATCTGAGAGTTCAAAGTGGAGCTGACAGTATGGACAGGACTTTGTCCTTTGGGCTACAAACTTTCCAAGAGAAAGCAGAGGAGTTCCCTCTCAAGCAAGCCCTATCTAAATTGGAAGCACCTTTACAGGTAAGGAGCAATCTGTTTTATTGGTACTAAACTAGTAATTTTTAGTTAAGAAGTAATTATAAATCTGTGTAATTTTTTTTCTATTAACTATCCCACTAGACATCTGGTGAAACTGTTTACACCAATGATATTCCAAGTTTCCGCAGAGAACTTTGTGCAGCTTTTGTCATTTCTACAGTAGGGTCAGCCACACTTGAACATGTAGACCCATCTGAAGCTTTGGTAAGTGTACAAGATGTTTTCTATTTAAAAATAATTTTTAAATATATTGAAAATATATTTTGAATATATTGAAAACCCTATAAGCTTTCACATGTTTTAATCATGTTTGTTCAATCTTGATTCTTAGCTAGCCATGACTAATCCAGCCCTAACTATAAATTTAGCTCTAGTCCTGACCTCAAACATAACACCATTTCTAACCTATACTCAACTTTACAAGTTTAATATTTTGATTAATTAATAAAAACCTTTTTTAACATCCACTGTCTAGAGCTAATTATACTTTCAAAATTCGTAGGTGATCCCTGGAGTTGTGAGCTACATCAGTGCTGCTGATATTCCAGAGGGTGGCAAGAATGATTTCATGGACTGTTTGATGTTTCCTGGAGCTCCACAAGAAGAAGTAAGTGCTAAGCAAGTAACATACATACATATAAGTTGATGAAATTGTTGATATATCAGGTGGCCTAGCAGTAGAGAGCTAGACTGCTAACCTGAAAGTCTTGAGTTTGAATCCTGGTTCAAGTCAGTAGTATGTCCCTGAGTCCATCCAGCTCTTACGGGTACCTAACTCATAGTAGGAAAAAAATGTGGCAGTGCACAGTGCCGACCACACTATCCCTTCAAAAGCCGAGATCTCTGAAGCAAATTAACCCTACTTCATCTGCCTCATGTGTTTTGAGCATGAACTGGAAAAGTTGTTGTTGATGGCATTTCGGATATTCTAAACAGATGCATAGGAAATGGGAGCAGATTCTCCAACTAGGACCATTTTTATAAGAGGTGCGCCTTGTTCAGAGATTATTTTAAATATGATTTAAAATGAGTTAGTGATGCTGCAATAGACAAAACAACTCACCTTTCATAAACTACAATCTTGAAGCTATCACAAGGTTAATTTTATGCTGTTAACTTCATATTTAAAAACTCATTGCATGCATATATTTTTGCATTCCTGAGCCATATGTAGTTATGTGCCAGGCAGTGAGGCATTTTGTCTTCACACTGTATCATTGTTCCTCTTTAGCACTTCTACACACATTGTTTAGGTCATCTATCCATCTATTCTTGTGGCTCTACAGCCCATGGAAGGCTCTAGCCTGCTTCACCGTCTTGTTTCCCAATCAGATACTTACTGTGTCTTCTTCAGGGGCGTATCCAAGGTTTAGGAGTAGGGGATTGACTGGTGCTTTTAAATTGCTGAACAGAATCATTAATACACATTTCCAACTCTGACTTAGATTTGATGTAAAACAGACTTGTCACTTTCCAATACTAATTTAGGTTTTCATCACAAAAGAAGTCTCATATGCTGGCCAAGTTATTGGACTCATTCTGGCTGGTAAAATTTTGTTTTCAACGATTTTACAAAATGAATTTCACATGCTCAAATAAAACTTTTAAAAGGGTTAAATTTTTTTCTTAAACTTATCAGCTAAACACATTTTTTTCAGTCTTTTAGTATGTAAAATGTAAATGATGTGCTACATAAGCACTTATATCAATAAACAGAAAGACAGAGCATTGCTGTTGAGGCAGCTAAGAAGGTGAAGGTTACTTATACAAATGTTCAGGAACCAGTGACAGAACTAGAAGAAGCCATTGAGAAACAAATGTTCCATGAGGGAAAAAGAGAGGAAAAAGTTATTGGAAGTCCAGATGGTAAGAACATTTTGCTTAGATTTTTCTCTTTTTAACCAATACAAAATTTTAAAAACCCATTCATTTTATTACAAGCTTTTATTTAACTCACTTCCTCTGTCGTCAGTCCAGACGGAAACGCAGGAGTGAAAATTCGGACAGTTCTACTTGACCGATACGATTCACAGTTGGCACGTGGGTCAAGACATGAAGACAATGCAATCTGAAACTAAATTTGACTTAATTGGATGCCTAATTAATTTTTTATGAATTAATAAAAATTTGGACCGAATTAGTAGGCATGTCTAGCCAACCACACCACACGCGTCATCACCTTCAATAGCTGCGCCATCACGTAATGGCTGCGTTCAAAAACCATTGCGCGCCTACTGAACGTGATGTTCAGTAGGCGCGCAATGGTTTTTAGTCATGTAACTCTATTGTAAATAAAACATGTAAAGTACTGAAAAAAAAATTCATAAAAAACGTTTTAATAACAAGCTTTTATGTAATGATGCACTAAAAAGTAGAAAATAAATTATAGACTACTATTTAAATAACTATAAAGAAAAGCGTGGGTGTCTTCCTTAACATTAGTAAAGGTATCCAATAGATACTAAAGTGACCCACGCTTTTCTTTATAGTTATTTAAATAGTAGTCGATAATTTATTTTCTACTTTTTAGTGCATCATTACATAAAAGCTTGTTATTAAAACGTTTTTTATGAATTTTTTTTTCCATTATGTTTATAGCCTTTTATGAAATTTTATTTGATGGAAATTATTTTGTTATTTTCAGATGCCTTTAAAGACTCAGAGATTGTTTTGTCAGGTGAAATCAAAGAAGGCTCACAATATTACTTCTACATAGAAAATCAGGTACTTAAGTTCTAATAGTTCAACATTGTTGTTAATAATTAATTTATGAGAAAATGTTGATAAATGGGAGTTTAAAATGGTTTTAGATGGTTATGTGAAGTGAAAGAAAAAGTGTTTATAAAACATGTCAGAAGAAAAACATTTCTACTTTAACACAGCTGATTCATTCTGATAGAAAAAAAAATTTATAAACTATTTTGTTTTCTAAAATGTACATCAGGTGTCAGTAGCAGTTCCATCTGAAGATGGTATTGACCTTTATGTAGCTTCACAATGGGCTGGCCATAATCACAGAGCTGCAGCTAATATCTTAGGCAAGCCATTAAATTTGTAAGTTTTGTAACCTTCTACCTGCTAATATCTTAGGCAAACCTAATTTTTCTCATTAAATCATTTGCAAAAGTATTTCTAAATTATATCTTTCTTTCATGTGAATTATTCTATGCAAAAGTGTTTAGTGTAAAGAATTTTTTTTTTAAATCTAAATAAACGTAAGATTTATCAAATATATATTCATTGAAAGAGATAATTAAATCTCATCTGTAATGAGTGATTGCTTAACTGGGTTGCTTAAAAGTGATTTCTATAATTTATTATTAAACCTGACCCTTTAGACAATAAACTTAAGATTTATCAAAATGTATTTTTTATATTTGAATTACTATGTATAATCAATAATGAGAAACTATTTTATTCCAGCATCAATGTGATCTCAGGTAGAATTGGAGGTGGATTTGGAGGCAAATTTTTCTACTCCTGCAACATATCTGCTGCTGCAACTTTAGCATGCTACATCACCAAAAGGTAAACGGATGGGAAACAAAATGCTCAGAGACTTTTAAGATTAAGCACAATCTAGTCTGAAATGGGGGGGGGGGGGGGAATATTTTAGAGATTGTGTTATTTAAATATTGCAGTACAAGGCTGGGTAATTATTATTATAATAATCTTGTCTTTAACTGAGAAAATTGTAGGTGTTACACAAATTATTTAGGTATAATTTTTAAAAAATATTTTTTAAGCTTCATTGTAATTTATATTAAATGAGCAATGTTATCATGTAAGCTCAGTGTTTGGGTGATCAGAACATTCACGAAAGAGTCAGCTAAATTTAAACCTAATTAGCTATAGAAATTCTTAATTCCTAACCGATTGTAATTATCAGTTCCACACATAAGTACTTTTTCTCACACAGGCCTGTCCGCCTCTGCGTAGATTTGGCAACAAACATGAAAATAACAGGGAGGAGATTTCCAATTTTGGCCAAATATAAGGTGACCGGATAAACATTTCAAAAAACGAGATATAAACTTTCAATCTTGAATGTTTACTTCTCATTAAGAGGAATTTTCTTTTTTTGAATAATTATAACGGGCCAGTTTAAGTTTTTTTTTTAAATTTTACCTTTAGGCTGGTTTAAGCAGAGAAGGAAAAATGAATGTCATTGACCTTGATGTATATATAGACAGTGGTTTCCAGCCTGCTTTGCTGACTGCAGAGTTTCCCCACTCACTTGACCAAGGTTAAACTGAATTAAAGTTTTTAAATAATTTTTTTTGAGAATTTTTATTGAAGTGATGAAAAAGATTCTAAACCAATATTCTATCATAAATTTGCATGAGTTAATAATAAATGGTTTGTTTTTAAGAAACATCTTTTTAAACATTTTTTAATTCATTGCTGCATATAAAATTTAAAAAATTTTAAACTGCTGCATTGACAGGTTACCACATCCCCAACTGGCGTGTTGTGAACACACTTGTCCGCACCAACAAAGCCACAGCACAAGCTTGTCGAGCTCCTGGTATTTTATTGAGCTTTCTTCTCTCTGAAGTTAGGAAATCAAATGTTATAAGCACATAAAATAACAGCTATGCTATAAAATGCTTTTTATTTTAAACAAACATAATTGTAGTTACTACTAGAAAATATCATCTCCCACAATATAAAAACCTTTGGTGTTTTTAAATCTGTTTAAGGGACTGTGCCAGCTTCCCTGGTCATTGAAAGTATCCTTGAACATGCTGCAAAAGAAGTCAGAATGCACCCAATTCTTTTCAAAGAAATACATTTGTATGAGAAGGGTCAGGTAACTGTAACTGCTTACTTAAGTTTAATTGTTGACAAAAGCTTAAGATACACAATGTTTGTGTTCGGAGTGGTCTAGGGGTAGAGAGCTGGACTGCTAACCCGTAAGTCTCCAGTTTGAATCCAGGTTCAAGTCAGTAGACTGTCCCTGAATCCACCCAACTCTGATGGGTACCTAACTCAGGTTAGGGAAAGTAAAGGTGGCTGGGCATAGTGCTGACCACACTATCTCTTTATATGCCCAGGTCACAGAAACAAGTGAAGTCTACTTCACTAGCCATATCAACCATCAGGTTGAAAAAGGAATTTTATCACAATATTTGTGTACACATTCTTATCCTAAATTGTTGATGTATATTTTAATTATTTTTTTATGTTTACCTAATTCTCTTTTTTAGACTGACCTACAGGGTATCCCCCTAACTCACTGCACCATCAGAGATTTGTGGCAGAGACTTAAGCAAATTGCTGAAGTCACTGAGAGGATGAAACAAACAGATCAATTCAATCAGGTAGTTCATGTTAAAATGCAGAACTGTAACCAAAAAAAAAACATCCTAAAACTGCTTAATTTTAAATGTAAAAATATATTTAACATGTATAAGAATTCATACCATCCTGCATACAGTGGAGTAGTTCAGCTTAAAAACAAAGAGCCATGTTTCATTCTACCATTCTGCTTTGGTGACAGCTTTTTCTGCTAAATCATAAGGATGTCATCCTTATGATTTTTTTCTAGGCCCATGTGAACTTGACCTTGGCTTTGCCTTGTAATCTAGAAGTGGATTTAGTTTAAAAAATAATATGCAGAAAATGACTTGGCTCATGCATGAATGCAGTCTCGTTAAATATTTCTCTCACTCCTATTAAGGAAAACATTTAGTAGGCTTTGTCACAAGCAGCCAGTAACACTTAACTTAGCAAGAAATCCAGATTGTTACAAACATAATAAGTCCCTAAAGGACTGTATATGGAACACAATATAAATCAAATGTCTGGAAAAGTTATGAAATAATAGTCAACTGCTTATTAAATTTCTCAGAGTGACCTTAAGTTTTAGGGTTTTAAAAAAATCATATTTTGGTTTTAGGATTGTTAGAATTAGTAGTTTCAATTTCATGATTCACTTAAAACACTAGTGGCACCCCTGCCAATACAAATTAAGTCTAGCAAAAGTGAATCTGGAATATGTGACCTTCCAATGCAAACCAAAGAATTCAAAATCATTTAAGAATGTTGTTGTTTTCTAAGAACAACAAGTGGCGTAAGCGAGGTATCACCATGTCTGCTGTTAAATACAGCATTCTTCACTACCCACCTGGTCAAGTAGTCAATGTTTCTGTGTTTGCTGATGATGGGACGGTCACTGTGATGACCTCAGGAACAGAAATGGGGCAAGGACTTTATACAAAGGTATTTACGAGTTCGGTCTTCAGAACACAGATAAATTACAAGGGCTTCTGCATTAAAGTGGAATCGGTCTCAGGAATAGTTTGCAAAAGTAAAATTGATGACATGGAGTAATTTGTTTCTTTCTTTTTTTTTTTTTATAATTTGCTGTTTAAGCTCTTACAATTTAAAATTTAAAAAAAAACTATCCAAACATGGATAATTGGCAGATTTTTTTCTAACTGGCAGGTCTCCCAAGCTGTTGCCAGGACATTGAAAGTCCCACTGAATTACATCAAAGTTCGACCTCAGCAAAATAATACCATACCTAACCCAGGCTTCACTGGGGGAAGTTCTGGCAGTGAAACATGTGTCTCTGTAAGTCTCTTGTAGGGCTATCTTTTTAATTTTGTGTGTCTATAAGTAGGGCTATCTATCTCCCATAATGCCATTTAACTTACATGCCATTTTGTGTCTACCCCTTAATTAAATAATTATGTCCCTGTGTTCACCTCTGTAGAAAATTGTTTTTTTTTTAGTTTCAATATAAATAATCTGGAGCATAAATTTAATTGTAACCTTTTAAATTAAGTTGTAACTTTTAATTCTGTCTTAGGCAGCCATCAATGCTTGCAGAGAACTGAATGAGAGACTTGAGCCAATGAGGACTAAGATGCCAGATGCTGATTGGCCAACTTTACTCAAAATGTGTCATTTAAGTAATATTGATCTGGCAAGTCGAGCTAAGTAAGATATACATAGGCTTATTTTTTGGTTGGGGGGGGGGGGGTATTTTTATTATTAATAAGACCATTACATTTTTGTTTTTACAATATAATAATTTTTAAATCTCTAAATATTTGTTAGTTTTACCATGATTTAACTGCACTTTTCAGTCAAACATGCAACACATTCATATAATAATTACTGTAAACAAAAAATACTGCATTATTATGACTAAATATGTGTTAAATTAGTATTAATTTGTCACGCTGTTTTAAAAAAATCAAAATCACTTTAGAGTCGCAGTCTACTTAATTGTAAAGATGAGTACATAATATCACTATACTTTAAAAAAATCTTAAAACTCTGTAAAAATAAAGTTACAATGTAAGCGATTCTAACAACGTTACACTGTATAAGATTTTAACAAATGTTACACTGTGTTACACTGTAACAAAAGGTAGAATCTTAAAAATGTTATAAGCCTACTTTTTTTCTAGATTTGAAAAAGGAAATAAAAATGTAACAAATGTGCTACTCCGTACCTAGATCTGACAAAGGAGACAATATGTTTCAATACCACACCTACTGTGCTGGTGTTGTTGAGACTGAGGTTGATGTCCTGACTGGAGAATACCAGGTCAAGAGAGTTGACATAATGGCTGATTTTGGGGAGAGGTAACTCTAAACATATTTTTTAGAAAATATTTTGTTGCACTTAGATATAATTTTTTTTTAAATTGATGTTATAGCTTTATTTTATAATTTGATTGAAGAAGTACTACTTGCAATAGTTTTGGTTAATAATTTGATTTCTTTTAAAAAGTAAACCTTAAATTTTGGTTTTACTGTATCATTCATAATTAATTTGATTTAATAAAAATAAACCAAAACATTTTGTTTTACATTATCAACCATAAATAATTTGAGTTAAAAAAAATAAAACCTAAATTTTTGTTTTACAGTAGCATACTTTGATAATCTGATTTTGAAAAAAAAAGCAAACCTAAAAAAATTATTTTACAGTATCAACCCAACTGTTGACATTGGTCAAGTAGAGGGAGCTTTTGTCATGGGCCTTGGTGCATACTTGTCAGAGGACCTTCATTTTGACAAGAAAACTGGCCAGGTTCTTAATGATGGCACATGGGTATGTAAGATACTCCATTTTTAGATAGATGGTTAATGTTGAGTGTGTAAGGCACTTTATTTTCATAGATTCTAAATCATATGGGTTCTTAAGATAGGCACTCCATTAACCATTTTTATATAGATACTAAATGATAGCACATAAGTATGTAAGACTCAAAATTTTTAAATAGATAGTAAATGACAGCAAATGGATATGTAAGACATTCCATTTTTTTCGGGGGCCAGACATTTGCCAGAATGACACTTCCATTTTCATATATAAAGTAAATTAGTTTTTAAGACTCCACTCTTTCATACATATAATGACACAAAATAATGAATTATTAGTTTTAATAAAGATAATCAACATGATACTTCATTTTTAAGCTAGGTAAATTATTACTTGAAAATGCTGTTTCTGTTAAAGCATTGAGTACTACAGATAAAGGAATTTATCTTTCTCTATGACAAAAGGCTTATGAACAGCAATACGTCCAGCTTTCTTTGCATTTCTAAACTTAACTTGTTTACCCAACATCTATACCCTAGACTATGATGTGGATGATTCTGAGAGCTACAGTTGCAACACCATGTTGCTCCTTTCTTCTTAACACCTCTTGTTAAAATGTATAAGTTTTATCTAAAGCTCTGTTGCTTGCCCACCAGGAATACAAACCTCCCACAACAAAAGACATCCCCATAGACTGGAGGATCCACTTCATGCCTGACACACCCAACCCTGTTGGAGTCCTCAGTTCTAAAGGTAGGGAATTTTTTAGTAGAGCATTTTTTCTTCTTCCATATTTTCTTCTATTTCACTTGGAGAAAGTTTTAAGCATTTTTTAAAGAGTTTAAACTAGATAGATGTAGTCAATCAATCAGTAGATGACAATATAAAACAGACATGAATAATATTTTATACTGCTAAGTTTTGCTTTTGTTTCCACCATCTGTAGCTGTGGGAGAACCTCCCATTAGTCTGGCTGTTGGAGCTCTTCTTTCTATCAAGAGTGGAGTGGAGGCAGTCAGAGAAGAGTTGACTGGTGAAAGATCTTTTATCCCTGTTGGTAAGTCCAACATTGTTAACCCTTTTTGTTCTGTTGGTAAATTCAGCATTTTTGGGCACTATGTTAACCCTTTTGTGGCTGTTAAGTTCTCATAAAAGTAAGTACCAAAATAAAATTGTTATTTCTAACTCCAAATAACTGCTGTTGATAATTTCAGCATTGTTAAATCATCAAGCTAATGCTTTTCTTGAACCTTTATGCTAATAACTTGGGAACAGAATTGTTAAGCAGGGATCTACAAATCTACGTGATAAAAGACTAGTTTTAAATTTTCTATAATTTTTAACCGCTGAGTAAAAATAGTAACAATTGTAAGCACTGCTATGAAAATGTAAAACAATACATTTGAATTTAATCACAAATATAATTTCTGATACAGAGGCCCCATACACAGCGGAGAAGGTCCAACTTAGTACTGGTATCAACTTGGAACATTTGCGAGTCTAGCCGGAAATTACAGTTTCATCTCAAATCTTGGGTTTCAAGAAATAGCTAAAAAGATTTTGAATGTTTGTAAATAAAGAACTAAAAAATATATTTTGTTTTCATTATAGCTTTCAATTAATTGGACAGAAATGTGTCAAAATTATCTCCCTTATTCTATTTATAGTGTTATGTTCACTTAGGATAATTATATAGGCCTAACTATATATTTCTAGTTTATAAAATATCCTGTTGTTGAATATACTAATCATATATTTTTTTTGGCTGATTCTACACTATGGCTATACTATTTTCCATAATTTTATTATAAAATATTTTGATCCCAGTGAGAAATCTATTTATTGTGAATATCAAAACATTTTTCTTAGTGTTTTGATTAGTATATCATTTTTATTGTAAACTATTGTTAAACAACTTTTCATTTAAACTTTTTTTTTTCAATTTCATTTTAAATGTCTTTTGTGAACAAAAAAAATCCATGCTAAATGTAATTGAAAAAAATATGTAATGATCTCCACATTTAAAAAATAGAATTTAAGCCTAATTTGTAATTACAGGTGAGACAAATTGGCAAAATTAACTTCAAAACTTCAGAGGAAAAAAATGGTTCAGATATTTACTGATTGCTTCTATTAAAAAATAAATTACAGCTTGAGGTATTGAGTGCCAAAGAGTGTTTTCAGTCATTTCTGATAGTAGCATTCAGCACTTTTAATTGTTCAGAATAGAGATTTTATTCATTTGCACTAATAATTTTATCTGCTTTTTAAGACTTCACTTTTATTTACTCCAATGTTGTAATCTTTACAATTAATAATAATGATTATAATGTAACTCTCTCTAAAATAAGTATGTACAAAGAAATTGGTGTTTAACTTTCATACAATGTCTACTCTCTTAGATCTAGTTGCACTTCTTCAATAAACAATATATAATGGAATTATTAAGTAGTTTTATTTATTCTACAAAATTTACCTACTCTATCAGTAGTGACCTTAAGGATGTCACCTAGCCCTTCAGTAATGACCTTAAGGAAAGGTGACACCTCTACCCCAGCCAACAGCATTGACCTTACATTACGTATGACCCTACCCCATCTGTTGTGACTTTAGGATGACATCTACCACATCTGTTGTGACCTTTAGGATGACATCTACCCCATCTGTTGTGACCTTTAGGATGACATCTACCCCATCTGTTGTGACTTTAGGATGACATCTACCACATCTGTTGTGACCTTTAGGATGACATCTACCCCATCTGTTGTGACCTTTAGGATGACATCTACCCCATCTGTTGTGACCTTTAGGATGACATCTACCCCATCTGTTGTGACCTTTAGGATGACATCTACCCCATCTGTTGTGACCTTTAGGATGACATCTACCCCATCTGTTGTGACCTTAGGATGACATCCACCCCATCTGTTGTGACCTTTAGGATGACATCTACCCCATCTGTTGTGACTTTAGGATGACATCCACCCCATCTGTTGTGACCTTTAGGATGACATCTACCCCATCTATTGTGACCTTTAGGATGACATCTACCTCAGCAGCACACCCATGACACCCCAGCAGTTTTCCCCAAACGTTGGCACCAACCTTCACATTGACAGAATCCACTACAACTACATTCTACTTTCGTTTACGTCCTCTGCCATTCACCCGTTGCTACCGAAATGTTTACATTAGCTATTTATAGAACAGACCATTGACCCCCGGATCTATTAGCGAAGCTTGGTAAAATAAAAAACCGAACAGGCAAATAAAACAATTCTAAGCAGTGCGGACTCAGACGGTAACGTGACGAAATATCTGATCTCACTCGCTCACTCCAGGTACACGTTAGGCCTTCAGCAGACGGTGCGTGTGCGCTGCTCAGACTAACTGTTCGGGTGGAGAGAAAAATGAGGTCAAGTAAAAAAAAAAACGATGAAATATAAAAGAAGATAAGGCAAAGCTAACTTTTCAAGGCGGGTGCACCTTCTTGAAAAGGGGATGTAATCGCGTGTGCAACATGGGTAGGGTACCTTCGCAGACCCGAGAGTATAAATAAACTAAACGCGTTCCTACACACAACACAAGATCCGAGTTTTTTATCTGTCAGTTGTTGATTTAAATAGGTGATTCAAAGCTTGTGTATATATTTAGATTAGATTGTAAGCCTTCGAATGTAACACGTAGCATTTACAACTTTTATTACTTAATATTCAAGTTGTGCTCCAAGACGATTGTGGTACACAAATATTGTGGGCCATACACCTGATGTATTGAACGAAAGAGATTTAGACAAATTATATACAATGTATAGTTATTATCGTTTGACTGTTTCTACAGAATTTTCTCCAAAATAAATTGAAACTTATTATTAATATTTATGAAGTGGATTATAGCTAAGATAATTATTACTACCTGTCGGTTAAAAATTTTTAATGTTGGTCAGCAATATATGCCAGTTTTTAATAAAGCTGAACTAGCTGAGTGTGTGAATTGTGTAGCTGCAACGAGCAAAAACTTGGTTAGCCACTGTGGCAATTTTTTTCAAATCGGCTAATTACTCATGGGGGCCATTTTGAAGACGATGAACTGACCCCGGAATGTAAGCAAGCAGGTGGCAGACGGCGTGGAGCAGGCGGTGAAAACGTGCGGACATGCCCGGGAACACAAGGGGAGGGAAGCCGCATTATTTCTGTACAGGGGAGGTGATTCAGGAATTTTGCCAGGAGCTAACCTGAGGTTCCAGAACCGACCAATGGGATGGGGAGGCAGAAGCAGCAAAATTCCATCCGTGTTCGTTTTTTTCCCCTCCCCTCCCCCCTCCTGCTTCCCCCCCCCCCCCCTCTCCCCTCATCTTTCGGTTGACGGTTTGCCTGTTGTACCAGTGCAGTTGATCCTGGTAACTCGGCTTGTCGACCCACAACTTTCGACCAACGGGGGAAGAATTTTTTTTTCTACATGTACTGTTTACCGTAACTAAGACAACACTAGGAAATCAACAGATAGATGGATATACACGCATATTCCATAGATTAATTATTTTTTTGTTTTTAGAGAAGATTTGAAAAAAAAAAAAAACGTCGGATATTTCGGAAAGAAAAAAAATAAAAGCTTTTTGGAATTCAGGAATATCTTCTTAGTGTTTTCCACCCGTTGTTTTCCCAGTCTCATGTCATTGTCGAGGTAAGGTTTGTGACGTCATTGCGTGTCACAAAACAGCTTGTTTACACACGCGCACACACACACACACACACACACAACATGACCTACTCACAGCATTAGCCTTATCAGTAGCAACTGCTACTTAAGGTAGCAGTTCTTTGCAGTAACTTTATTGGTAGTTCATATTGTTGATGTTAGCACGTTGACTCTTATATATATATATTTATATATATATATATATATATATATATATATATATTAATCGGCTATATATAGCACTTATATTTAGGTCTATATATATTATATTTATAGAAATATAGCGTATATATATATATATATATATATATATATATATATATATATATATATATATATATATATATATATATATATATATATATATATACAACTATCTGCCGTTTCTAAGGCGGTATGTGTCGTTACCACTTAATGCGTTTAACACTAACTCATTAATGGCAGTGACTGACACTACTTTGATTAACAAAAGGGACATAACCAAGTAGACGTAATATCGTTGTGTAACTTGAGTTAATGAGTTAAATTCATGACAATTCTTTTCCTCAACATCCTAACAGTTGAAATCAATCTAATATAAAACTAAATTCCACGTTTTCGTTGTTGTTGTTTTCGACATCTTTCTCTACTTTGAGATAGGATACGCCTCATAAAAAAATCAAACTTTTAAACACGACCCCTCTTCAAAAGAACGTTTCAATCGTTTTTTTTTTCTAGTCGACCGTTTTCTCGGTAATTTATTAGCAAGTCATGTGCAAAACGATTTCGTCACTTAGACTTGGGTAAGGAATGTGGGCGGAGTCAGTGCTCCCCACAACTTTGTTTAGAGAATATGTTCAAGCACGTGAGCTTGTTGTATGTCTAAAAATAAACTCTCGTGGTAAAAGTGAAAGTGGTATGTTGTTCCAAAAATGTGTTAAGCTGGAGGTTTATAAATCTGTTATGTTGTTTTTAAAAATCTGTTGTGTAATTTTATAAATGAGTTATGTGTGTGTTTTGTTGTTTAAATGTGTAATGTTTGTTTTATAACTGTGTTAAGTTGTTTTATAAATTTGTTAAGTTGTTTTATTAATCTGTTATGTTGCTTTAATATAAATGCGTCATGTTTTATTATTCGTTATTGTATGTATTGAGCTGTTTTATAAATCTTTTGTTGTTGTATAATTTTAATTCGATATATTGTTGTATAATTGTACTATGTTTTATAAATGCGATATGTTGTTTATACGTGTGTTATGTTGTATAATTGTGTTTATTTTATAAATGTATTTGTTGTTTTATGTTGCTTCATAAACATTTTTTTAAAGTGTTTCATAAGCGTGTTGTGCAATTTTATAAATGTGTTGTGTTGTTTTATAAATGTGTTATGTTTTATAAATGTGTTGTGTTGCTTTATAAATGTGTTATGTGTTATAAATGTTATGTGTTGTTTTATAAATGTGTTATGTGTTATAAATGTGTTGTGTTGCTTTATAAATGTGTGATGTGTTATAAATGTATTGTGTTGTTTTGTAAATAGTGTGTGTAATTTTGTAAAGGGTGTGTGTTGTTTTGTAAATGTTGTGTGTTGTTTTGCAAATGTCTTGTGGTGTTTTGTAAATGGTGTGTGTAATTTTGTAAAGGGTGTGTGTTGTTTTGTAAATGTTGTGTGTTGTTTTAATGACACAGAGCAGATACCCACACCGTGCTAGCTCAGAGAAAAATGTCTCGTGTGTTTGCGTGTTAAGTTGTACTTGACTGCGTCAGTGTGTGCTTCCCTTTGATATTGTGTGTTCTGCCGTGTTCGAGTGTGTTACGCTGTTTATGTGTGTCAGTGCACTATTGTGTGTTCTGCTGTGTTAGAGTGTGTAACGCTTTGTTTTTGAGTGTTTTTGTGTCACCGTATTCATGTGTCATTGTGTTTGTGTGTCACTGTGTTGGTGTGTTACTGGTGTGCTTGAATGGGTCTAAGTGTGCTGCTCTGGTGACATGCTAATGATCTGCTCTGAGCAAACGTTAGATTAAGAACAAGTTTATAAACAAAACAAAGTACCTCAACAACTGTCTTTTTTCTGCTTATATAATAAACGACAAAATTGTCAATTGAATTTGTTGCGTACACTGCTTAACTAAATATAATATGTGTACATAGCTACCATATGTATATTTTATGAAGTATGATTTTGTGTACACCCTTACACGCGTACACTTTGTTTGATGTTGCGTACACCCGACGTACACAGCGTGAGTAATGTTTTGACTCCCGTGGAATGTGTATAAAGGTCACACAGCTCGGCCAATTGTCCGCCGTGCTGATGAGAGGAATCACACCTCCCGTTGGTCTGATCAACTCGTGGAATCGTTGGACTAGTTTTGTTTTATGCCGTACCCTGTAGATTCTATTCTCCAAGTCTATCAGGGTTAGTTTTATGCCGTACAGAATTGTGTATCACGAAGACCAGGTACACATTTCCTGGGGGCCACCCCAATGCCAATTTTTTAATTGTTTGAATATTTATTGCTGTAATTGCAAGATTCAAAGACGCAGACACGAAATCTCCATAACAAGACGACACAAAAGACGAAAGGGTCGCCAAAAATATGGCTTCTAGAAATAGAACCCGTCATTAAAGCTCAGGTTTATTTTTTCGAGATCGCACCAAAGCATTCGATGGCATCGTGAAGTACTAAGATTATTATTGGGGCTGTTAAGAATTTGGATCCCTGGCCACTGCCCTACCTCTTATTGGGACCCTGGCCACTGCCCTGTCTATTGGGAACTTGGCCACTGCCCTATCTACCTCTTATTGGGACCCTGGCCACTGCCCTATCTACCTCTTATTGGGAACTTGGCCACTGCCCTGTCTACCTCTTATTGGGACCCTGGCCACTGCCCTATCTACCTCTTATTGGGACCCTGGCCACTGCCCTGTCTACCTCTTATTGGGAACTTGGCCACTGCCCTGTCTACCTCTTATTGGGACCCTGGCCACTGCCCTACCTCTTATTGGGATTCTGGCCACTGCCCTGTCTACCTCTTATTGGGACCCTGGCCACTGCCCTGTCTACCTCTTATTGGGACCCTGGTCACTGCCCTACCTCTTATTGGGACCCTGGCCACTGCCCTGTCTACCTCTTATTGGGACCCTGGCCACTGCCCTGTCTACCTCTTATTGGGATTCTGGCCACTGCCCTGTCTACCTCTTATTGGGACCCTGGCCACTGCCCTGTCTACCTCTTATTGGGACCATGGGCACTGCCTTGTGTATCTCACTCTTATCCACCGTCTTAACCCTAACGGCCTTGTTGTGTGCGAACAATGATGCTTACGGTAGACAGGGCATGGAGGATTATTAAGAAAGAACTCAAACATCTAACATTTTAACGTTTTTCTTTATTGTCGTGTTTTCCTACCTCGACGATTCGTTTCTTTAAATAATCAATTCGAATTAATGTCATTTCCTAATATAACATAACTCTCTTTAGGTCTAAATATTTTGCTGCACATCTTGTTATTCCTTCTTTCGTCCATCTAATTTTCTACCCCTCTATCTCTCAATCTCCCCCCCCTCCCCCCCCCTCCCCCCCCCCCCCCGTCCTACCATCCTACGATACCAGCGTGTCGTGCTATGTTACCTCATCTATTTAAATCACTTTTGATATCTGATTTTTACTTTCGTTTTCTCCAATAATATTAATAGTAGAAAAGCTGCTATCGTATATTTATTTATTTATTTGCAAACTCTTAATGCTCAAAGTTATATACACATATTTGAGACAAAGTGCTCTTCTCAATAACAACGCCACGCGGTCTAAAACTTACTGTTTAAAAAAAATTATTAAAAGTCAACATTTACTTCGTTATACGTCAAAGCGAATGAAAATAAAAATCACCAAAATATAATTTATACAACGACCAAGAAATAAACACAGCGGCCAGTGAAGGGACTCTATCGCAACTTCAGACCAAAACTATGAAAATAAAAGATTTTATGAATAAATTCTCGTTTAAATATATATTGTTTTATCATAACTCATGTAGAAACTGTAAAAAAAAAATATGTCTTAAAATTTAAGCTTTGAATGTTATCGCGCGCGCACACACTCACTCACACACATACACACACACTTACACACACACACACTTACATAAACATACTTACACACACTTTTTTGACATTACCGATCTCTTAATTTTTTAAACTACTTAATGTGATGTTAGATATAAATATAAAAAAAAAATTGTTATCTTATTTCAACACGTGCTTTCTGAGAAAAGTTTGATAAGGCTAACACAGAAGATCCTCACACGGCGCAGATCCTGATACCAGTACAGATTCTTACACGGAGTAGACCCTGGTAAAAGTGCAGTCTTTTACACGGCGTAGATCCTGATAAAAGTGCCGATTCTCATTCGGCGTAGATACTGATAAAAGTGCAAATTCTCACACGGCGTAGATCATTATTCAAAGTGCAGATTCTCACACGGGGCAGATCCTAGCACCATAGTATTGCTAATACAATGCTTTGCACTAGTTTCTTTTACGATGGCGTGCATGCCAGTTATTCTCTAGTACATAACGTTCATTTTATTTGTTAAAACTTTCGTTTTTCCAATCATAATTTCATCTTTTCAACCGCCAATTTGAAACTCAGACGACCAAAGTTGTAAGATAGATAAAATTGTCTGCGTAATTTTAATAGTTCATGAAAACAGTAGAAACAAAATAGAATGTTCAAAAACAAAAAAAATGTCTCATTCTAAAACATAGCCGTATATGTTTTATCTGTGGCAGATAGTGAAGTAAAGTTCCCTTTCAAACCTGACAGTCTACGGGGCATATGAAGAGATAGTGTGGTCAGCACTATTCCCAGCCGCCTTTACTTACCCTAACGTGAATTAGGTACCCATCAGAGCTGGGTGGACTCGATACATACGGGTTAGAAGCAGCTCTCTACCGCTAGGCCACTCCGTCCCTTGGCAGATAGTAACACAATAAAACTTC